CGATTTCTATGCTCTGTGCAGTGATGCAATGCTCAAGGCGGTTACACGCCAGGCTACAGCAGTAGACAACAAGATTCGCGCTATCAACGCCGACCCAGAAACTCACCACCCTATTTCAACAGCTTATTACTTTGACCATTACGCTACGCCAGAGGACATCGCCGTCATGGTTCAGGAACAAGACTTCCTTGCTGCCAATGACGAGCTTATTCCTAGTGTCAGCGCTGGCGAATTGGCTCATTATGAGCATGTCAGAGCTACTTTTGAGGGAGTTCGAGAAAAAGAGAAGGATGATAAGCCTGTACCAGTTCAACGGGCGGTGTCAGGAGCATCGACATCGTCCAAGGGCAAGGGGAAAGCGGTCGCGTCAGGATCCAGTAAGGGCAAAGGCAAAGGGATTGCATTGACCAGTGACGACGAGATCGACGAAGAGGATGAGGTGGATGATATGAACGGACAGTCCAAGGGGAAGGGAAAGGCACCTATGGGCTTCCAGGATGGAACAGCCAGTGATGACGAAGGACTATATTAATCTAAGATGGAATATTTCGGTATTAAACAGGCATGTATATTGAGATCTAGAGTGGAGACTGGGTATTTGATCTTTATATATAGGTATTAACGCCAGGATGGTATCTTGGTTGAGTTTGAAGTAGACTCTGTACACTATTCCCCCCATCTATAACAAATGAAAACTTGTGATGATCAACTCTTAGCCCCTATTATTTCTTAGATTCCTTCTTGTGCTCTTTTTTGGGTTCCTTCTTTGAATCCTTCTTCGAGTCCTTCTTTGCCTCTTTCTTTACGTCCTTGGTATCTTTCTTGGTCTCCTTCTTTACGTCCTTGGAGCTCTTCTTGGACTCTTTCTTGGGATCCTTGGTGCTCTTTTTCGATGCCTTCTTGGGATCCTTCTTGGGATCCTTGGAGTCCTTCTTCTTTGGGTCCTTCTTAGACTCCTTTTTGGTCTCTGCCTTGACCTCTGCCGTGTCTTCTTCTTTAACCTCCTCTTTAACGTCTTCCTTAGCCTCTTCTTTTGTCTCTTCCACAGTCTTGTCAGCAGGTACAGCAGTCTCAGGCTCCTTTACTTCCTCCTCTTCCTCATCTTCACTATCCTCGTCATCGTCACTGTCCTCATCGCTGTCCTCCTCGTCATCTTCGTCAGAGTCAGATTCGGTGTCGTCTTCCTCATCTCCTTTATCCGACGTTTCTGTCTTCTTCTCTAACTCAGGCTCCTCCTTTATCGCCGTCTTGACCTCAGCAGCCTTGGCTTCTTCCGGACTGGCCTCATTACTGGGTGGCTTCGGGGATGGGATCGAACTTGAGGGACCATCTTTCCAGGTACCGGTTGTTGGGCTCTGAATAGCATTTCGCGCCGCATCGGTCTCGGCCCATGATCCAGATGTCGGCGACTGAATACCGTCGATCTTGCTGTCTATCGAGATAGGGGTTTCCGTAGTCGATTTGGTTTCTTCGGTTGCCTTTGTGCTCGCGATATCCTTCTTCTTCTCGCCATCCTTGCCGTGAACCTTCTCTCGTAGACTCTTTAGGCGAAGCTCCTTAGCCTTCGCCGCAGCTTCATCGGCGACGGATCGGACAGGTAAGGCTTTCGCTTCCGTCTTAGGCGCTGTAGAGACCTTTGGTGTTGCGGATGTTGCTGTCTTGGTCGCAGGCAGCGGAGGCGCGGTAGGGACGGGTTTTGGAGAGGTAGCGGCAGCAGCGGCGGCAGCGCCAACTGCAGACATCATGGCGATTCCTGCAGGGGAAACCGGGCTCTTGCTAGGCATGGGGTAGACTGGTCGCATTAAGGAGTCATCGGGAAGCTTGTCATTTATCGACGGGATGGTGTATTCGTCGAAATAAATCTTGACCTGCTCCTTAAGTTCGCTGCGTTCGTTCCATTCTTCGATCTCGAGGTAATCCTATAAAAAGCCACAAGTATCAGTTATGCGATCCATGGTTACACCAAGGGGAAAGTTGGTCGTACACCCACAACCCAGCCCTCCTGAATCAGGGCAGGGAGCTTCCTCGCGCGGCCGTTTCCATCTTTACCGGCTCTTCGACCCCATAGTAGACGAGCCTTTGTATCGACGGCGATATCGATGGCTTTAAAGGGAATGCGGTTCGCGCGTAGGATGGTCTCGAGACGTGATGTGGCCGTGACAATATGGGCGGAGCCAGCAGTCAGCGAGGTGTAGATGTAAAGCGCGGGATCGTTTAAGTAGTTTGTCATGTTGTATTAACAGTCAGATACTGATTCTGTTTGGTTTGGTGTGATTTGATGGCAAAGTGAGTTGTTCTTCAGGGGTACTGTTCGCATGAGTGGATATGGATGGATGGACGGGATAGGGATGACGGTTGAGTTGGACTGGATTTCATAGCAACCTGTCAGGGTGACGATGCTCGATAGATGGCTTGCATAACTGGAGCTACGTAAGCAGCTAATAAATGTACATGTACAATGTCTCACTAATCGCTAGCGGAAATACTTTTTGCTTCAGAAATAGGAGAGCCCATGGAACTCCTTACAGTACTGGAACAATCTAGCGAATCTAGTGCTGTAACTTGGAGGCATGATGCGGGGGCGGGGCAATGGATGGACAGCTTGCTGTCAGTTTGCTGCAGGAAAGCACCCTAATGTCGGTACCTGAGTATGTATGATGATTTAATTCAGGAGAAGGCTGAAGTTGTTCAGAAGTCTGGTTGAGTCTTTCAGTTGAGGCATTCACCATCTGAAGGTTTCTTTTGCTCGTGTTTCTTACACTGTATCCGTAGCTCTCGTGACCCTAATTTCCCCTGGACGACCCACTGAATCTTTGAGCGTCCATTGCAACGCACCCACGATGACCATCTCATGATTGAGAAAAAAGCAAAAATAAAATGGAAATAAAAGTAACAACCTTGTACGGAGATAATCCAAGACATTCCCAAGTGAATATGGCCTAAAAGTCTTGACGTCTTATTTCTTTTTGTGCTTTACAGTGACATACATAAGAGTGAGGCTGATGGAAAGAGCTTTCTCCACCATGTCGTAAGCTCTCCCTTCCCTTTTGTCGTCTCCTTTCTCGACGTCTTTCAGTTCTGTTTTCTTCTTTCATCTTCTATTCTTTCATTCCATTACCATCGTTTCTAATCTACCCTGCTTCACGATGCACTGAAAAGCGCACAATCGCCTTTGTTCGCCGCCATTGACGGCCACTCACAGACATATACGAACGCGCCAACCCAATTCGGAATCGTTCAACAGCAATGAATGATCATGTGGACGATAGCGCAATTGGTTTCCCGTGATATGGCTTAAAACGCCATCCCGACGACTAGAGGCCGTCTTTGTATGATCTAAAGATAGCCAGCCGGCCAAGCGGTTGGTCTGCACCAGCAATTAGCCGGCAATCTACTCCCAAGCAAGCCAAGTCAAATCCTCTTCATACTATGTACCTACACAACGAAAATCTCGTGTCGGTGATAAACCCCAGCCGAAATCTATTTATTGACACTGCCAGATGATAGTTGCATCTTGGCATGGCAACTTGCATTCGGGTCCTAACCTCGTCAGCCAGTCGCTGTTCTTTCGCCCATATCATTGCTCTGATTAATGCTGTGTATTGGTACACTTCTACGGATATCATGCTGTTTAATTAGCACAAAATGCAGTTGCATTTCCATTAGTTGTGTCGCTCACAATAACAAAGGATCCGCCCCTGGCTAGCTGTCTGTGTTTTCGACTGGGTTTCTATCTTGGCTTTCGGAGTAATTTCCAAGTCCGACTGATATCCATGGATTCTGACTGGTCTGCGATCTTGAGTTGTTCGCAGTGTTTGAAGCCCTCTGTACTCTCTTTCGACGAGGCATTTGTGACACTCTCTAGTTTGCTTTCGTGCGGTTCCGACTTGGTATTCTCAATGGCCAATTAATCTATTCGCGGCAGGATACTTTTTCTGCCAATGGTGCTCATGCGCTGTAGCAAGCTGTTTCATAGCCTTGACCCAGGCGTTGCATTATGCGACACTGGTTGAATGAGACGTCTGTGTCCTAGTCCCAGATAAGACCTCTGAGAATGTTGCATCGAGCGATGCGACCAGATTCTGCCGTTCATCAGAAAGAATGACTGAAACAATGGTCAAAAAGTTTTCCATAAAATTCTTTGTTTCTTGACTCATCCAACAAGCAGTTTTGCTGCCACACAAATCACAAAGACGTTCTGGCGACCAATCCACACCGACTCCTGCCACCAGTCCATTTCACAACAAACCACGCAAAAGAAAAAGGGGAGAAGATGCAAAAATAAATGGTCTTTGCGCTGTCAAGGCTCCATCGTGGCACCAGCAAAACACGTCCCTGCAATTCTGGCAACACTTGATTGGCCAAGACCACGCTGCTGAAGGCCGTTTGCCAAAGACCAATGTTTCTTTGCAGGGAGTGGATTGGGGCCAGAGGAAAGCTAGACGGGGATAAGCATCTAGCTCAGGAACAAACCAGTCAAAAGTGCAGTTGCTAAGGCTCTGACCGATCCTCAACCGGGTTGTATTCTTTGTCTGTGTCCAATCACTGACTGGCTTTCTGGATGCAAGGTACCGTTGTGTGGTGGCACCTGCGAAAACCCATTTGGATGCCGGGGCTAAATCATAAGCTTCAGGGACGGTAACAATGCCAATCGATTGGGGATAATGAGGTGACAACGCACCCAGGGTCTAATAACTAGACGGACAGGGGTCGGAAGTTGGCTTTAATGAGCAGAAATTAGGTCCCGCTCATGTTGCGAAAACTACAAGTCTCGCTCGACACCCGCATCAGACGACTGCTTTGCTTCCTTTCTGGTTCATCTCACTTCTTGACGCTTGACGACATCTTCAGCCTTGTGCTATCACTCTCCTTAACCGATTCTTGACAACATTCTTTGTGCCTTGCACTCTTCAGTCTTTTTTTGCTCTGCTCAACGCAACAAGAATCACCTCACGATCCTTCATAGTTACTACAGTTCGTTTCAGACAACAACAATCACAATGCACTACACTAGCATCTTCATTGCCGCCGCTGGCGCCTCAGTCGCCGCTGCTCAGGATTACGCCCCTCCTGCCCAGGACTACGCTCCTCCTGCTTTGGATACCACTACCCTCACCTCGACCACTACCCAGGTTGTCACTCTCACGCAGTGCAACCCCACAGTGACCGACTGCCCTCTGCGCACCCATACCTCTACTGAGGTCGTTGTTACTACCTCCACCGCTGAGCCTGAGGTTCCCGCCGAGCCTACCACATCTGTCTACGTTGCTCCTACCACCTCAGTCTACGTTGCTCCTACCACCTACGAGCCCGTTGTCAACACAACCAGCCACCACGAGGTCCCTACCATTGTCAACACCCCTACCATTGTCACCACCAAGAAGGCGCCTCTCCCCAAGACCACCTACTACCCCGCTGGTAACACAACCGTCAAGGCTGGTCCTACTGCTCCCTTCTCTCACTCCACCAAGCTGCCTGTCCCTACCAGCAACGGTACTCCCGAGAAGCCTGGTTACGAGGCCCCCCCTGCCTCCCCTGAGGCTCCTTCAAGCGTCCCCACCGCCGGTGCCAGTGGCCTCATCGCCTCTTCCAGCTTCCTCGGTGCTGCTATGGTCGCCGCCATGGTTGTCCTCTTCTAGATGCAGCCTGGCATTTAGTAGGCCCATCTGATCTGTCTCTTGGCAGATTTCGGATTTTCACTTCTTCTTATGATACCTTTTTGTTCTTTGGGGACGGACGTTTGGAGACTTTTTTCAGGTTATGATTCTTGTGGCAAGGCGATCTTCTCTTCAAGACAGGCTACTGTGTAGCAATTTGGTTCCTGGCAGGCCATTGGATAGCATAGGATAGCAGCGCGGAGTTTCTGAATGCATCATGTGTTCGTGTTTGTAGACACGCATATGCTGTTTGGTTCTGAACCGGGAGGCGACCGCCCTCGGAAAGTTGCGGAGTTGAGAGTGTTCTGTTCTGGTCAGTTCAATTCTATACATACATACTATGTACTTGATAGAGTTGGAATTAAAATTACTTTATGACGACACATGTCAATGTGTTCAAGTGTGTTTGGTGATCATATATGTGTATGTATATGCGTACATATGCATGTGGTGGTGGATATGTGGCTCGCCATTTGGCACACTGTCTGGCTTGGCAAGCTGGTTATTACGTTTCTCACCTGTGCAGAAAAGCAAGTAAGCGGGAATACTGAAGCGATGGAACATTCTCCTCTGATCTGAGTCAAGTCTAGAGTGTACAGCATGAGCTGAGATGATCATGTCGTGAGGTTGGCTCGTGCTGAATTCATACATACTCAATTGGTTGATCCATTCATCAACCCTGGTAATAAGACAAAGTCTTGGGATATGCGATGAGGTGCAGTATGTATCATGCTGTAGACTGTACTCTGTACTGTAGATACGTACCACCAATGCATGGTGCTGCGTTATCCTGTATTATGTATGTTGCGCTGTGCAACACATGACTCTTGTGCCTCGTGCAGTGCATTAGATGCGTGTAACCACACTTGAAGGATGACATAGCAGTGTAAAGCAAAGTACGGATACAGTCTCCCAATTTTAACTTGTTTTGTTAGCCGACGGGACCATTGTTTCCGTTCATGTCGCTTTTGCTTTCCAATGAACTCTCTGAATACAAGCTAAAGCGGAGTTGTTTCTCTCTCTGTCTCTCCACAAGATGCAGAAGCGTTACTCGCGTGGGAGAAAAGAAAACATAGGACCGAGGATCGGCAACTACCGCGTGTATGCATGTACCCTTGCGTATGATGCTTACTTTTTCCTTCCTTCATTCTTAAATTAGGGTAGTACCTCTTTCTCTCTGCATTGAGAAAAAAAAAGTCTTGTCCATGTTGATTATTAATGCAGCTTTTACTCTGTATGATGACTGACAATGTAGACCAGAGTAGAGTACGGGTAGGTCATTCCATCATGTCCACACCCTCTCATACACAGTCAACCCAGTTGTATGCAACTCGCACCCATGCTACTGGTATTCAACCCTCCTCTACGAAAAAGAAAACAACAACACCGAAGGGGGCAACTCTGCCGCGTTTCTTTCTCCTTCTCCATACCCTGCACAGCTGATGGACCAGTAGTCGTAGGTGAACTAGAGTCCACTGGAATAGGAAGTTCCGTACGTTTCTGGCGAGCTGCATATGCGCTGCTGTCACTGTCTGACTTGGGGTCATGGATGGCACAGTAGATCTGACGGGAGCCGCATCTGGTGACATGCAGATTTTCGGGTGCATACTGGATTCTCTCGTTCTCTATTTGGTGGGAACGAAAAGGCGGGATATGTACGGTAGGTAGGTCGGTTCCTGGGCGGGCAGGATAAATGAATGATCATCTATTATACCGACTTTTGTCGGCTTTGAGACGTAGAGATAGAGAGACTTGGGGTGCTGTACCCGCCGAGTGTCTATCAATCAATCACTCACTCATAGGTTGCCGACAGACAGGCATACCTACCCATTGATGATGGTCCGTCGGAAGGAAGCCCCGGGCAAAACCTCTCAGATGCCAAGTTGACTACTGTATGACTTGAGTTTAGTATGTGGTTGGTTAGTTGGTTAGTTGGTCAGTTTACAGTTAGCAAGCTGAAGTGGGAAGAAGAAGGCTATTCCTCATTCTCGATCGACAGATAGCGCGAGCCGCGAAATGAAGATGTCAGATCATCTTGAATTCCCATCTGCATGTCAATTCCTTCGCAAACTTGCCTACTTCTGGGCATCATGCCCGCCGCCACAATGATTCCAAAGTTGAGAAGTTTTTAGTTATTATTAGTCTTTGCTAAAGTAGTGCTTTTTGTGCCTCCGGCGACCAGGTTCCTCTATTCAGGCTTAACGGCTGTTGAAACCGGGAAATGGAACGGAGATAATACATAGTTTGTGTTACGGACAAATCGTGACTCGTCCTTAATGCGTAGTCAGTAGTCACCCTCCCATGCATTGTCCGAAACTGTGTATATATATGCAAGCCTTCTTTTGCCGCTTATTCTATCCTTCCTGAATACGCAATTCATAGCGTATGCATGCGTACTTATATATGCATACGCATGCTATTGCCCAGTCGTGGTTGGAGCAACTCTAGTTGATGGCGGCATGTCCTGTACCGAATTGACTCGTTTGCCGCATTGTTATTTCATCGTCACTACGAAAAAAATATGTGGTTTACTGGTTGCTAATGGTCACTTCTCGGCGGCTATGTAATGGATCACATTTCAGGCCAACAACCTAACGTTGACATAGACACATCGTGATTGACTAGTCGAGCGTATTTGGTCCAGTTAAAACATTTTCAATTATCCTGTGGATCTTGCTATACTAGTCTGAATCGTTGATAGGGAAATTCGGAGGCCTGATGATAGTGTCTTGCTCTGCCTTGCCACCTTGCACTCTCACCTCGTGACAGCTTTAGAGTAACGACTCTTTTGATGGTGATACACTAGTTCAGGAGTCTTCGAATCATGATTGACTTGACAGGCAGCCTACTGGTAGTACTTGCAACTAACTAGGTGGGTTTAATACGGGGTTGGCCATCAGGCATGGCGGTTAGATCATGGCCATATGGTGGTAGACAGGCTACTTTTTTGCATTACATGGAGCACTCCGGAATAAAGTCTTGCTGTAGTGACAATGGATTACTGATCCAAGTGCACTTGATATTGTGTTGCACTATGTCAGGGTGTAGTTACAGTACGTCAGTTCTGTTCCTATGTTGCCGCTATTCAAGAACCTCCTACTTGGATGAAGTCGGTGCTTGTTCCCAGTTGGCCTTGTCTTTATTAAATCCAGTCCTTTTCCTCAGCCTTGCCCTCCCACCTTCATGTGCTGTAACTTCCCAGTGTCGGAGAAAAAGAACCTCCCAAGCCTTCCAATGTTACCCTTCTGCAAGTCGAAACCCAGGTCATCTTGACTGTGACCATGTCTTGCATATCTGGGTCCAAAACCAAGTCCCACCATTTCCAAACATCACTTTGCGTAGTCTGATCCGTCACACTGATGCTATTTCTTTCTAGCTCCATCTTTCGATACCCTGGCGTTCTTGCATCGCTTTGCATGCCAATTGGGGCCTGCAAGGCAGTGCAACAGGCGAGCTAGGGCCGTGTCATGATGGCTCCTTATTCCCGAGCCTCTGTCATGACAGGTCTATGTCGACCAGGTCGAATTGCGTGCCTTTATCAAGGAGGACACTGGTTTCTGCACATTATGCAAAGGGTATCGTTTGGCGCGGCCTTTTCGAAGCAGTTGTGGGTAAGATTGTGTGCGCAAACACCATTGGCATAGTTAACAAGTTCTGATGAGCCGACTTTGCAGTTCATGGTTGGTCGCATTGGTTGGCACATGGTGGAAGAGTTTTTGCGTGATAGACCAAATTTTTATAATGCTTTAAATCAAGCTGGGTTCTTGTGTATGGGATGGGATCAAAACGGCCGTGGTGTTTGGGTTATCGCAGGTGGGAAGGGAAGATGATATAACAAAATCCGAGCCACTAAAACCTTTCGGTCGACGTACAAAACGACGGGCAATGAACAGATGAGCACCCTTCATAAAAATAGCAGATGATGCTTAGTCCAACGTTCAGTTGAGTGAGATGGGGGTCAGTTGTGGTTGTGTAGGGCTGAAGAGACGAATGTTTAGTAGTCTCACGAATCATAAACTGGATGGGATGCTCGGCCTTTTATCGACCTTGGTTTGCATGGGTGTCGATCCGGGAGAGCCACAGGGGCCCTCCTACCTTGATAGTATTTCCGTATTGTCTTGCTCGTCATCGAGGCGAGTTTCCTCATCTCTCTTCTCTCAACGCAGGGCTTGTTTGCGTATCGAACTTTATGCAATGCAACAAAGCGGCGGGTAAAAGTGAGAGGACGCAATCCATGTGCGCTCCGAGGCACTGGTACTAATCCATCGGCTCGTCTTCAGGCACAATATGTCGTTAGTTGTAGAAAGCTCCGTTTTGCGCTACCAATCCCGGTGGTGGGTGTTGGTGTTGGTCCATGTCTTAGTCCCCTTTATTTCTAGAAACCCACTGTGCGTCGAAATCATATGGTGATGGGCCGGAGCTGCAGGATCAGCAGTAGCGGTACAGTTACAATAGAAGTTGGATCCTGCATAAGCCAGACAGGGGGGCTATGGTCTGGCTTGACCCGTGAGGTGAGCGATGGGATGGGAAACCCGCTTCTCTGTGATGCTACGGTACTACCGGTTTCTTTTGAACCCCGTACTTAGCTTGGTGACAATTGTGTCTTGTGCCATCGTAACCTGCCCTCTTGGACGTTACTGCCTTGCTGTTTGGTCCTGCCGGAGTGGCGCAAGCCGGAGAATGCATTACATCTATTTCTCGTGTTGCTCACAACTTAGTGCGTTTCCGTCTGTCCTCACAGGGTCATGCAAAAGGGCACAGCCCAGGAAATGGAAAAGATCATGTCGGCGTCGACTGTATGACACTGTGCCGTGTCGTGCCGTGCTGTATCCGCGCATGCCGTTTCCTGCCCACGTTTGTTTGTGTTGCAATGGGGGACTGCTGTATGTGCTAAGACACTCCCCGCAGCATTCATGCCGTAAACTTGGTTGGCCAAGGATTTCGCGTCCCGTGTGTGCATGTACTCTGTACAGTACTGTACATTGTGCCGGTGCTACTTGTAAACGTTACGGTATTGGTACAGCAACTGACATGGTGCTTTCAGAAACTGACATCTGATTCTGACCAGTAACATACGCTATTAGGTGCTCCGTGCTTGTCCTTGTGTGTGGGGGCGGGCTGGGCTGGGCTGCACTTGTATGTGCTCCAGGCTCCATGGGCTGTGGCTATTCCATGAGGGGCAGAGAACATAAAAGTCGACTACAGGTTGGAGGTGTTTGGCGTCAACTGAATTTCCTAATCCATTCGCTTGCCAAGCCCAGAAGTCCTTCGGCCGGCTAGGCGTGAAAGATCGGCATGGTGACTGGTCTTATCGCAAGATTTCACTGATGGACAAGTTGCATCGATCCACCAAAGATCGATCCGCCGTCCTTGACGAAGACTATCCTGGTCTGTGTTACACGTACGTAACTGAGTTTCCAGGGTGTCGTAATTAGTAATGAAAGTAGATGGGTGAGGTTCTTTCGAGGATGAAATTGAAGAGTTTGCAGAAGAGGATCTTCTAGAGACTTGCTCTGAGCCTCGACAAAACGCGGCCGCCAATTGTCATAGAGAATCCTACAGTGGAGAAATATGCGACTCCTAACATACCCTTTGCCGGCGGCAACGGCTGGGTTTGACATATTCACCAATGTTAACGACATGGATACTATTAAGTATGTGAGATGCAGGTTGATTTCTGTCGCGCAAAGGTGTGTCTGTGAGAAGTAACAAACACGCTCGACCTCGTAGCGAATCGCTTTTGCTCAACACAACGCATCACCATGCATGACCCAGGTTTCTCCCCATTACTGGTCACCCAGCATCTCGTTGATGCGCCTAGTTCGGCCAGATGCTTCATGTCTCACGAAATTGCCTCTTAAGAAGCCAACTTCTTTGGGTTAATAGACATGTTGGCTCCTCATGCCGTAATTGATAACGAAGGGTCTGCGGCAACTACCAACGATCCGGCTTTGATACAAGCTAAACCTGTCATGGTGTCGCATGCTTAGTTTAGTGTTGGTCATTATCCGGGCCTAGTCCGTTGCAAAAAGTTTCCTTCACAACATCTTCTCTTGGAAATTTGACATATGACGAGAACGAAAAGCCAGAAGAACTCTCATCCGATGTTTTTGTAACTTTTAGCTTCTTCTGGGCGGCCGACACGGGCAACACAGTCTTTGGTGGTGGCTGTTGAGGCATCCAACAAATGAAATGTACGGATGTTGAGCAATTGATACGTGTGAATGGATTCTGATCCCGGGGATTGGCTTATACAAAGTCCAGCCACATTGGGCCTTTTTCTGTATTTGAGTCGAGGCGCAACCAAAAACATGTTTGTGATGGCTGCATGTGGCTTTTTCTTCTTGAAACTGCCTTGCATGTTGGGCATGTCAAGCTGAAGCGCCATTCCTTAAGCGAGATGCTAAACTCCATGTTGCTCGTAAAAGGACCAAACAAATGGCAGAGCCCGATGGGGTAAGTTTTTGAAGGACACACCCTGATCTGAGCTCGAGGATACGCGCACGCTTCCCTCTTGGATTTGATGCTGCCCGTACTCCATATTGATTCTTGACAGTGTAAATATTCTCGAGAAGCCGCAAGCCAGGAGCATGCCCTGTGACACTTTGAGAGCGTTGCTGCTACCAGCAGAGTATTAATTTCATCAAGAATCCTGGCTGTCGTACCAGACTCAGCAGCTTTGTACGACATGGCGATGAGCATTTGGAGCACCATCGAACTTGTGCATTTGTTGATGATCTTGTAGATACGCCAAGGCCAGAAACCCATAGAAATTCTGCTTATCGGGCACGCAAACATATTGTTTGATATGTCACGTTCTCCTAATGCTCTACCTAGGGTATGGTTTTCATTCGTGTCCAGCTGACTTTGGATCGCTGGTCGTAGCGCGACCAAATCCTGGAGTCATGTCTCCTGGGTTTCCAATGACTCAGGTTTGTAGTCTTCAAAGAATTGAACGGGGTGATGTTTCACAATGCGCCGACGGCGGTGGCGAGAGGAGCGGCGTCTAGTGGGCAGCAGAAAAGTTGACCTCTAGAGTCTTAAGATATAAAAATAAACAGCCTAAGAAGCATAGTCGAAATATCATAAAGTGACCTGCTAATTTCGTCTCTTAAGTTTCCAGCGGACAGCTTTTCTGATACCGTGAGGGGCGTATAATATTGATGTTCTTAGAATTGATCGGAAAGAGGGATGGCAACAGTATCCAGAGAGAATATGACAAAACTAGCGGATGATCTTGCAAGATTTGGGAGAAAGTGGAAGCGACAAAGGCTGGCGGATGGAGATATGTGGATTGTAGGTGGTGGCGTGAAGTTGGAATTGAAGTTGCCGCAGAAGTGACAGAACCAACAGTAGGCGCGCTTGTGCACGTGCTGTCGATGCGTTTACCAAGGGCAAGCGCCATTGAAGACCCTGAGTTGTCATTGATTAACACTCTTTTGGAAAGAGCCATGGCTATCATAAAGTGTGCTTGCCAAAAACATACTTGCCGCGGCCGGGTACCTTAAGTCTGTGCCCTGATGGCCATGGAAGCACGGCAACTAAAAAGGTTTCCGCACGAGCTAATGCCAACTTCATTAAGATACCAGCATCTTCACACCTGCCAAGGTATCTGCCTTCCCGTATGAGTGGGAACGAGGCGGCTGACGGTAACTACCTAATAGCATGATGTAATGATAAGGAGCCGCGGTGGTTCAAAGCTCTCCACCTTGACTCGTCATGATGACCTGCACACCTTACCTCATCGATCAGAGAAAAGAGCAATGCAATGTAAAGTGATTCTACTGAGATAGGTAGCCAAGGTCATGGAAGAATTTGCCGTACTAGCAACGTACAAAGCCGTCAGATACAACGTAAACCACTCAAAGAACAATGTAGACCATACATTCCTTTGACTTATCAGACTTGAACTAGTATAGCTTCGTTACACATACCAAATTCAGTAACGTGCATCCATCATGGGCTGCCGTTGAAGCTAGGCCAATCCTAGAGAGTAGATGCGCCAGAAATTGTATACCCCACTAACAAATTACAAGCCATCTCATGGCCATAGCAGTTGTGCAGCCTTTTCTGGCCTAGACTGGTTTACGGAGCAGAGTCCAGATATCTCAAGCGGGAAGGTATAAATTCTACTTGCCTGCCGCTTGCTTATACGTGCACGAGAGGTTGTTCCTTCCTACATCATATATATGTATGTCTCACCATGCAACTGCATGAGATTCTGCCTGCCTATGAACATCTCTCATTGACTACAAGCTTAGTCGTCTCTTCCAATTATTTGAAGTCTTGGTACCTACTAGGTAGGTACACTGTAGATTGATTGTTCTTTCCATCCTCTCTATGCTGGTGTTTATCTCCTCGAAATGACCCTTGACCAGACCAGTACACCAAGTTTACACCATTCCTCAATTCAAGCCCGGCCAGGAGTGAAGCTGCGATACGCTAACAGGGTATAAGTAAACCGACAAATTTGATTGCAGTACCGTCACTCGGAAGTTCCGAACTCCTTCCTATGAATGCCGATCAAGCTTGTAACAGTATCCACGGTACTGCTACCAACTATGAAGGAACCATCAGCGTATCGGAAAAGCTGGCTGCTGTTAGCATAAGGGATGAAATGAGTACGCCAGTTTATGTCATTTAGATCAAACTTCTTAGACTGCTTATTTTTGTATCCTAAAGCTTAGAGGCCAACTTATCTAATACCCTGATGGGAACTAACATATTGACGCCATGTTCACCAATGTATCACTTTCTTGGATCTTCGTCCGATATTACGCCCCTGGCAGGTCTCCCTGGCGCCAATCCTGTCCATTCATATGTCACTTGATTATAAAAGCATTGTTGTGCAGCATCTTCCATTTACTCTCTATCTCTGCTGTAAATAATAGCGGTATGCCATTTGGCACGATACATTTGCAAACCTCGTTTCTTTGCTCGATCTCAAACACAAAGCACGGAAACCATGGATCCAATAAAATGGGGTGATTTGATACTCACCGAAGGTATTGTTGCTCAAAGATGTGCTAGGCAAGTGTGATGTATGGCGAGTAAGTTTCAAACGATGATGGAGCTATAAGGGGGGTTTCGGCGAACTCGCGGCATCAATGCATGCTGCAATCGGACTCACACAGATGAAGAAAATACACACAAAGTAACTGTTCCAAGGCAGAACCAAGAGTGACTTTTCATGGACCTTCTTTGTTTGATGCATAACAAAGTGACGTCAAAAAGAAGTAAGTGGTCCCTTGAGCTGCAGTACCGGCTTAGCCGCAATGGAAATCGGAATCATTGGGGGCACGCCGGATAATTCTATAGAGTCAATAACGCCATTGAGTAGGGCTACCATTATCGTGAGTTTTCAATGGCAAGCGATCCCCAACGATGATAGATTATTGGTTGTGACTTTGGCCCAGCGACCAAGTTTTTCTGCCCCGGTCATCCAAATTATTGTTGCGCGAATGGACCCCTAAGACCTTATGTAAGCCATGTTGGGCTTGGTGATGCCAACATACCGTGGAGTATAGCTGGCAGCGTTATTGTATATGGCCTACATAACTGTGATTTGGATGGAGGATGGTAAGAAGATGGCTTGTCTTGAATTTTCAGTATTATCCTAATCCTGTAAAGTATCTTGTGTAAATGCTTTCAAAAATTGAACATTTTATATGAACAGGTTATTAATATGACTGTGAAGACTGTTAGTTGGGAGATGCTAGGGAAGAGTGATTCTGGTACTGGTGTTGGAACAAGAGTAATCTAATGCGGTTCACAGTCGGTATCTAGAATACTATTTCCTCAGTAAAGATCCATGACAAGTATAGATAAGATAAAAGGACCGTTTGAGAATGGGAAAAGTATCTGGTCCCTTTGCCTTGTTGATTCACGCCTGGAACAAAAATCGGGCGTAAGTACCCAGAGAGAATAATCCATAGTGCATATCTACCTAGATATGCTCTTTCAAAAAGACGAATTTAACCAGCAACCAAGGTATCAGACATGTCAAAGTGTTACATTTAAATCCCTTTGGAAAGTCTGCAACATTAAGGGTCCTGTTGGCATGGAACAGACTAGAGCAGCATGTTTAATCCGATAATGAAACATGTTGTCTAGAGCACCAGTAACCATAAACCAGCCAGCAGGGGTCAGCCGAGACCATTTCTCACTAGCGGTAGCTTGAAAAGTGGTCTTGTCCTCGACCCAACTTTGTTCAAGTCAAAGGGCCACGTATCCTCAGATGTAAAAAGAGGGGCTCTGCGATGAGACCTGGAGAGTGTCGTGCATAACACCAACAGGCCCTGTAGAAACAAGAACATACTAAGCAACCATGCAGTTTAGTTATTCGTATCTGTCAAAGCCGAGTACGAATTAGAGAAGAGTCTAGAGCGAGGCTGATCTCTGGGCCACTCCTATTATTTTGCTGGCATTGGATATTTGCAATTCGAGCTTAGTGGGGGCTAGATCGACAGTCGTTGAGGGGGAATGACTGGCTGCCCTGAAGCTGTACCTGCGTATTGTGTACTGGTTTGTGTGATTGGTTACCAATTGTAGAACAATAATTTCTTGATCAAACCTTGAGAAAATTATACACAATTAGATCAAGATCAGTTGTTTCTATCATGTTCGATGCAGTCTAAAGAGAGTTGAAAATGGCTGTAAAATGGCTGATGTGTCCCGTCCTGCTCCGAGACATGTCAAGCTCTACCGCTATTAGCCCCTATCAACGTTGAAAAGAACACCTCGAAACTACCGGGATAGTGTCAATCTTGGTGAGTCTAGGGGGTTGAGTTCAGGGTCACCAACCAATCAAAATTTCTGGAGATGGCTCTGGACCCTATTTTTTACACCGCCCCTCCTCTCGAACTTGGGCCAGAGCTCCCTCCCTTTCTGGGCCCCTCCAGCTGCCCCACGAAATGCTCGTCCTTCTTAAAAAATAAACCCGCCAACATCAACTTCTCTCCCTCTTCTCTTCATCATCTCATAGCTTCTGATAGCCATTGGGATCTGTCGTCATCATGGCAGAGAAATCAGGCGTAACCGGCCTCGACTTCGAGTTCGTTAAAACTCCCGCCTTTCCCAAGCCTGACTTTGACAAGCTTGAGGATGTTGGTGTTCCTACTACCAGGGTAAGTCTTGATATCATCCACCCACGATACGATTGCTGTCCTCTTCGTGCCTTGTCCGCAAAATATCATCTAATAATCAACTTTACAGTACCCTGCCATCAAGAACGCTCCCCTTCCCGCCGATGGCTCTGGTGCCGACACATTCAACAACTATGTCCTCATCTCCATCCTGACCATCGTCCCCTGGTGGTTCAGCTGGAAGGTCGGCGGTGGCTTCAAGACCACTCTGTTCTTCGCCCTCATCATCGATCTTCCCATGCTCGCTGTCTGGTGGTTGACCATTTCCGCCATCAGCCCTCGCAAGAATGAGAAGGTTCGCCTTCCTAACCGTGGTGTCGAGCACTACCTTGAATTCAAGAAGGAGGCCGACCGCGCCAAGTACCGTGGCACCAACAAAATTCCCATGGAGACTTTCTACGAAATGTACTTTGACGGCGATGTTGACTTCAAGGGTGACTGCCTTGAGGTCATGGAACAGCGCCACGACTGGGTCAGCTTCCGCTTCACTATTGGCCTTATCAAGTTCTTCCTGTTTGGCATGATGCCCGAGGTTATTATGCACACTCGTTCTCAGGGTATGTATTCTATCCGACCAAAAATCGATCAAAGTAACTAATATTTGCCAGACGAGGAGCAGGTCCGCGACCACTACGACCGTGGTGATGATTTCTACGGTTGGTTCCTTGGCCCACGCATGATTTACACTTCTGGTATTATCTCCGACATCAACCGCGAGGAGACCCTTGAGGAACTCCAGGACAACAAGCTCACTGTTGTTTGCGAGAAGATTGGTCTCACCAAGGGCGACACCATGCTCGACATTGGCTGTGGTTGGGGTACTCTTGCCCGCTTCGCTAGCGAGCAGTATGGTGCCAACGTCACTGGTGTCACTCTCGGCCGTAACCAGACCGCTTGGGGCAACAGCAGCATGCGCAAGGTTGGTATCCCTGAGGAGCAGAGCCGAATTGTCTGCAAGGACTACCGAGATATTCCCGTTCCCGTGGGTGGCTACAAGAAGATCACCAGTCTTGAGATGTCTGAGCACGTTGGTATCCGTCACTTCTCCAGCTTCCTTAAGCAGGTTCACGACATGCTTGATGACGATGGTGTTTTCTTCCTCCAGTACGCTGGTATCCGCAAGGCTTGGCAGTACGAGGATTTGACCTGGGGCCTCTTCATGAACAAGTACATCTTCCCTGGTGCTGACGCTTCTACTCCTCTCGGCTGGGTTGTCGACAAGCTCGAGGGTACCGGTTTCGAGATCAAGCACATTGATACTATTGGTGTTCACTACTCTGCCACTCTCTGGAGATGGTACCGCAACTGGATGGACAACAGGGACAAGGTCGAGGCCAAGTACGGCAAACGCTGGTTCCGCATCTGGGAGTTCTTCCTTGCCTACTCCACCATTATCTCCCGCCAGGGCAGTGCTACTTGCTTCCAAATCACTCTCGTCAAGAACATCAACTCTACTCACCGTATTGATGGTGTTGAGACCCAGTTCAACCTTCACGGCGCTCTTGACAACTGCCGTGCTGACCTCCAGTCTTGGGCCGCCAAGAACAACGTCAAGACTCCCTCTGAGCTTCTGTAAAGTTTTGGCTGAGTGTCTAACGCCAATTGGGATTTTCCTGAGCCGTGCCCGAAAAAGTATAGCTTTAAAAGGATGCCTCCTAATGAGAGGCCAACATTGTGATTAGTCACACAATTGACAACCAGGGCGAAAATGATAACTTGATTCATCTCCGGCATGTTTAACCCGGAATGCGCCCCCTGTCCGATGAACTCGGTCGAGGCTGGCCTAGACGCAACGGGCAAGTTTCATAGTTCATGATAGATGCGTAACAGCAGCCTTGGGGGCAAGAAATAGACATGGAATATTATATAGATGTCTTGCAAGGAAAGGGATGAATTTAAAAGTTTGTTCATTATCTTGACTGTGTCATGATGTTTAATCTGTAAAATGTGATAATTAACTACTGAGCGTGGGCCATGATAGCTTGGGTGGCTTGCATATCATGACAACCAGCGACCGAGACTCGTGACCCGTAAATACACAGTCCAATCAGCCAAACACCATTTATTCATTCAGCCCAATCATTCTTGTGTAGGTCAGTTTGCACATATCTTGACATGATACAGATACAGCACGCCGAAAATAAACCAATTTGATCTCATCATTTGAGTCTCAGCATTCAAATTGCCATTGACAGATTTTGCGTCTTCAACTTCCCCACTTCAACACATCAACGATTCAATTCATTACAAGGACCGCCAAACAACTCCAAACAGACCAAGATACAAATATTCTCCCATTTCTGCGCAGGCAATTGATCTTCATCATGAGGTTAATGTCATCGTTCATCCGCCAGTCTGGCTTACATCTACAGAGACGATACAGTACAAAGACACACTCAACCATCATTTCAGCTCTCAAAGCCCATCCTCCCAAGATAATACCAGATTATCTAACGCCTATGCCCTCCCATCTTCTTACCACCACTATTAACGACCTTCTCTACAATTCTCACACATCGCCGAAAATATCCTCACCTCCTCAAAATCTTCCTCAAGGTCACCACCTCGTCTACTTTCCTATTCAGTTGCCTCCCTCACGGCTCATTCCCGATGGTGCGGATCCTGATCACTCTCCTGGTTCGCCATATACTCGGCGTGTTTGGGCGGGTGGCGAGGTTACGTTTAGAGGAGAGGGGATGAAGCTTGATGCCAGGCCAGTGATCTGTAGGGAGAAGATAGAGGATGTTAACTTGAAAGGCAAGGAGGGTGAGGAGAAAGTATATGTTGATATATGGAGAAGATACGGGACTGGCCATAAAGCAGAGGGGAGAGAAGAGTGGGATATTGAAGAGAGGAGGACATTGGTATTCATGAAGGAAGAGAAAGAATCTGCCTCTTCACCTGCACGTCTTCTCAAATGTAAGTTTGTATCTACTCCGTCCAAAAAGCATTACTGACATGACATGCTAGATCCCCACCCACCCACTTATTCCATATCTCTCACCCCATCACCGATACATCTATTTCACTTCTCAGCGCTCTCCTTCAACGCGCATTCGATTCACTTCGACCCTCAATTCGCACGAGAAGTAGACGGCCATCGCTCACTTCTCGTCCATGGCCCGTTTACTCTCGCACTGATGCTCCGCGTTCTCAACGACCAGATTGGCTCTAGCGCATCTGTTCACAAGTTTAACTACAGAAACTATGCGCCGCTCTACGTTAACGAGGGCATGAGTATCAATGTCCGCAGAGTATCAAAAGACGAAGGAGTGGAGGGACGATGGGATGTTTGGATCGAGGGACCAGAAGGAGGAATGGCTGTCAAAGGAACAGCGGATGTTGTCAGCAAATAAGACGTTCAAAATGATGATGTATTGTATATAGTATGGTTGTATACTAGAAAATGCCGACGTGTTACAATAAATGTCTAGCCAGAAAGGCCCGGCGAAACGCCTGTCATACCCCAATGCCAAAGAATTTGCCTCCCTTTTTTCTAATTTGATAAATAGTGCCAGCAGTAAAATGAAAGACAGAGCTCTCACATCTGCACACGTATCATACACATAATTCCCTTGAATCATACAGACTAATCAGCCCATCCAAAGACCTCGCCAAGAGACATTGCGTTGCTTCGTAAGCCCGTCATGGTCACCAAGATGATCACCAAGTCAAGTACAAGAAGAACAGTGCTGGAAAGCATGAAACGAGGGCTGAACACACGGTAGAGCATCAAGTGGCGACGGAGCCAGCCAGCCCAGCTCATAGTGGCCAGGGCTTCAACGGCGTAATAGATGATGAAAACGCCAATGCTGCGGGTAGCAGTCTCCATCACTCCCTTTTGCTTAGGGCCGACCTTCCACAGAGCCAGAAGTGGCACAGATGCAGCGGCGATGATCTGACCAGCGAAGCTGTTGAGAACCACAACGATGGGTGTCCAGGGGTAGCGGATGGTGAAGAGAGGGATGAAAGCGCTATCCCATTGGATGCTGGACAGAACAGCCTGATGTCCCGTCTTGAAGTAGTAGAAGTTTCCAAGGATGGCGAGCATCACAGGGCCAATGGGGTTTGCCTTGAGCTCGTTGAGATCCAGAAGCTCAGCTAGTGTGAGGATCTGCCAGAACATGAGAGCCAGAGCACCGCCTCCCATAGGCTTTGAAAGGAGGAAACAGGCCAGGAGAATATTAAGAGGCAACAGAAGGTAGCGAGCACCGATGGCGTTGCCGTATCCGATGATAGTAACAACAGGTCGGCCGCCAGCTCCAGCAGATTGAAGGATGGACACACAAGGCGGGGCCCAGACAAACACGGTGCTTCCAGCAACAAAAGCCAGAGCGAGAACGATTTGAGCCAAGTAAACACCAACGGTCTTTAAGGCTCCATCGCCAAATCGTCCCTCAAGCCAGCCTCCATTGTCAGCGGCGTCAATAACCCAGTACAAAGCAGAGAGAAACAAGCCTCCGCGGATAGCCAAGCCGATCCACGTAGGGGCAATACCCTCGTATGATCGGCTTGTAACAAGGAAAGACTTGATGATAGCGGGAAGGACAAGGCAGACAACAAAGGGAATGAGCAGTTGCCATGTCGCAGAGGTGGAGGAAGTCGAGGAAGCGTAGTAGGTGGAAGTGCAGTAGGGCATCTGCTCCTCGCGGCAGAGCTTTGAGTAAGAGGCGATACGGCCGAGAACAACAAAGGCAACAGAGTGGTAGATACCCAAGTATCTCTCGCGTCGAGATTCGATTCGGAAAGCGGAGACAGCACTGGCGATACCGAAAGTGGTAATGAAAAAGAGAAGGATAGAGTCTTCCCAGATAGTGTATGAGTTGGATGCAAATCCAATAGACTGGCTAACAGTGAAGACCACAGCCATCCAACCCCAGAAGGTTGAGGGCAAAACGTTGAGAATGGTCTTGCCTGCCTCGTGAAGGGATGAGCTGAGGCCAGCCATGAAAAGTACCGCAACGAGTGCAACAAGGCCCTCGATGGGATGTTGACGGTACATGCCAACTGCAGTGAGAACAGAAACGGTGAACAAGATCTTGGGGTCCCAGAGACCCTTGAGCACGCTCTTGTGAATATTATCCTCAACCTCGGGGTCGTTCTCTTTGAAAGACAGGAGTTCGAGCTTCTTCTCCGCGTAGTCGAGCTCTGCGTCGTTCATGATAACGTACTCATCTTCTTCATCACGAGATGAGTACATGATAAGCAGGACAAGGCCGAAACCAAAGACCACGATGCCCATGACCATACGGGGAACGTCGAAGCGAGCCCAAAGGTCTTTACAAACAGATAGCGTGGTCTCTTGGAATTTAGAAAAGGCAGCATAGGCATCACGGTCGTTCTTGGCGATAGCAAGGGCAGCTTGCCAGAGGGCAGCAGGAGACTCAGTTCCCTCGCTCTGGACAAGACCCCGAGCTTTGTGGTAAGCTGCTTGGTATCTCTCAATACCAGCTGAAGCAACTCGCGAAACGGCAGCAAGGTTACGCCAGTCGTTGCCCTTGACACCAGAAAAGGCCTCCTCAATGGGTCCTCCCAAGTTGTTGAACGGGATGGGGATACCCAGAAGGAGAGCGAGGGTAGGAACAAGATCGATCTGGTTAACCGGTCGAATCTTGGCGTTGGCCGGAGGAATAGCAAAGTCGCGAGAAGTTCTTCCAAAGAAGGGCTTCTTGGAATACATCCAGAGAGCAGCCTCAACCTCATCGTCGCTCTCGCCACCGTGATCTCCCTTGCTGTCCATGCCGTGGTCTCCCATGACGACCAGAAGAGTCTTGTCATCTATGCTCTCAACCATCTTGCGAATGAAATCGTCCATCTGGCGAAGCTTCGCGCCCATGGCAGGGTGATCAGGTCCGTATCGATGACCTGCGTGATCGACTCCAAGACAGTGTCCAATAAGAAAATCCCAATCGCCCTTTCGCTCCGGCTTCAACAACGGGAAGATGTTGTCCATTACACCATTGTCAACAGTGTGAAGGTCCCAGACGTTGAAGCTGTCGTAAGCTTTGCTAATGTTGGGCTCAAAGTAACCCGGGAAGAGAGACCACCATGTATCATCGCCAATGTGAGCAATCTTCTTGCCAGCGTCCTTCAGCTGCATCAACAGGTTATCCTCGTCGATAGCGGAGCCACCGAAGCTGCTTCCAACATCGACAAAGGTAGGCAACGTTCCTGTCGTAAGACCCTTGAGTCGTTGCATTGTAGCAGTGGGTGGATCCGCAATGAATGGTCGAAGGAAGGCATTCTGAGGGGACTTGACGGCGGTCTCGTAAAGGTAGGGGAAGGCATTGTGGAAATGCTGGGCCTGCGCCGGATCCTCAGGAACAGTAAAGTCGTAGCGAAGCGCGTCGATAAGAACGACAACAGCTCGGTCAAACGATTTAGGGTGCCAGCAACCGCGATCGACATTCAACAAGCCCTTGGTGTTCTCAATTGGAGGTATAGTACAGTTCGACTTGTCCTCCAACACCAATCGCGTCAGCAGAAAACCGCCTGTAAAGAGCCAGATTCCGAGCGCGTGGATAGCAAGTATAACGACCCAGAATCCAACAGCCCATCGCCAACGCTTCTCGTTTGTCTTGCGTCTTCTCTGGTCAAGCGCCTCGCGTCGTTGCTCTAGAACCTCAACGTTCTCATCAGCGGATGGGAGTCCGAATTTGGCATTGGCGGTTTGCTGAGCAGCTCGGGCGCGCTCAGCTTTAGCCCATTGCTCCGCGATCTTTTGATGCTCGGTCTGTGGAGGCTGTTGCTGAGCCTTGGGTTTTGCTTTTGGCTTTGGCGCCATCTTGATGGATTGTTGAAGTCAGGGATCGCTATCGCAGTAGAATTGAGGCCTACTGAAAGGCCATTGGTTTACAAGAGGGTGGCTATATGGATTATACAAAGGAAGGGAATGAAGAGAAAGGAATGAAGATTAAATATTGACAGTGGCCTCTGCTCTGAGGGGACATGAATCTTTGGTTGTTAGAACAGCTGTCGCCGACTCTGGTGGGTTACGTAGTGGAGCTGGCATGGAGGAGAGTGGAGTCGTTGGAATTGGACTTCTGGAAGGGAGCTTTAGCTAAGTGCAGGCACGATATAAGCCAATAATTTTAGTTAATTAGGTCACTTTAAGGAGATGTCAACATAATCACATACATACATATATATTCGATCTATCTGAAAGAAACGCAATTCTGAATTCATTATCGTCAATCCTATGTGGATCTCTTCGTACTCTAGTTATAAGAAAAATGCCATATACTATTTACCATTCTTAAATCAATCAATCAATCAATCAGTTCGTCGTTCGTTTATCGACATCAGTACCGTCCTTCAACAAGTCTATCTGCAAACAAGCATTGAAAACGACGTGACATGATGTGGCGTTACTAAATTTGCAAAGTTCCCTCCAGAACGCCGTTCATGCTAGGATTCTTTTCCACGATGCAACATTTTTGTCCTTCACCAGCCGTCTACCAGTTAGTGTGGCGTTGGCTGGTAAACTTTCTTCCAACCGCTCCCAGCTCAATCAAACATGTCGACATTGGCAGGGGCATCTGTGGTTTGTCCGCTAGCACGTCTTCTCTCTTGTCGTCTTCGGTTTCGTCGGTCCTCTGCAGCGGCAGATCCCTCGCCTGGCGCAATAGAAGGCCCGGGAGCAGAAGTTCTCACTGAAGGAGTAATGCAACTCCAAGTACCGTGACTCTCAGCCAGACTGGAGACTGTCTGGTTGAATTGTGCCGAGGTGCCTATTGATGGCGCTGGTGCCGGTTGTCCAGAATAATATGCTGAATCTTTGCCTCGTCGTTTCTGTTTCGCAAAGGTAGGGTTAGGAGGGGCTAAAGAAGCTATATCGTCATTTTCTTCTGCTCTTCGCTCAGCAGCCGACTCGGTCCGCTTGTGACTGGAGTCTCTTCGATACCGGCGACCTTTCGTGGGGGATTCGAGTCCGGAAAGGCTACTGGCAGAGTCTCTTCGGCCACGGGCTGCCTTTGCTTCTTCTTCCGTAAGTCTTCGGAGGGTCACGTTCTTGTTCTTGTCATCGTGGACTTTCATCTTCACGCTAACACTGGCGGGTGACGCATAGCGCTCGTAACGGGAGCCATCCTCACTGGGGGCGGATTTGTGGCGAGATCGCTGGACACGGGATCCGGGTGATAGACCTGAGGCAGTAGTTTCAGTAGGGGCCATTGGTGCTAGGATGCCGCGAGGGTCCGGGGGCATCGCGGGCATCGAGACATGCTCACTATTTCGTCTTGAATGGTTTCCTGCGCGACCGGCTGGTACAACGGTTGAATCCAGGGGTTCAGTAGGGGAGACGTAGTTGCCTCGAGCAGGCCGGGGCTCGATAGTTGATTCGGACATTTCGGAGGACAGGATCGTGTCAGTAGGAGGGTAACCCGTTTGGCGACGTTGAACTGGTCGGCGATCGCCTCGTCGGCCAGGAGAGTCGTATCCGTCCGCGGAAAACCTAGAGAGTGAGGTGCCGGATCTTAGGTCCTCTTCATCACGCAAACGCTGATCTTCCTTTGCTGCTTTCCTGTCCGCCATCTTCTTCGTAAACCAACCGAAACCTAGACCTCCCAGTAGACCCTTGGCAAAACCACCACCAGACTTCTCAGGCGGTGGGCGCCGAGACGGACTGACATAGGATGAATAATCCGACTCTTCGAAAACACTGCGTCGAGAGTTTGGCCCATATCGTTTGCTTCGAGGGGTGACGGATGGCGGAGGCGAGCTCAGGGCAGTTTCGGTGCCATCAGCAGCGCTCCTCATCTGCGACATTACAGGTGGCGGTCCACGACTTCCAGGATCTCTATTGCGGTCAGGCGTAGTGGTGCTAGTCAAATCAGTTCTAGTAACGTCGCTCATGCTGGGAGCGCTGCGGGTTGCACGGTGACGCCTGGGAGTTTCGGTCGACACAGCAGAATACTCGGAATAATCTTCGTCTTGGGGTCGTTGTTTCTTAGATAAGAACTTTCCAAGTCCCAGACCACCCAAGAACTTTGCGAAGCCGCCTCCTCCGCCACCTGCGTTGTCCTTTCCGGTAACGTCAGAGTACTTTTCGCCGGTATATCCAGTGAGGTAGCTAGCTGAACCATTCCTAGAAGCCACGACTTCTGGTCTCTGGCTACGATCAAGAGAAGGAGATCGGCTGCGGACTCGACTGCCGTTGTCTAGGTTCCGGTTCTTGTTCCGTCCTCGAGCCAAAGCCGCCAATCCACCAAGAGCAGCGAGAGGACCCAGCCACTTAGCCTTGCTCTTTGGAGGCTCCGACTTGTATTCAGAGAACAACTCGGACTCAGTTAGTCGAGTTCGGGTATCCTCTGTTGGTGCCAGCTCGGAGCGCATCTCTGAACGGACTTCCGATCGTGCTCCATCCATATAGTAGTCCCGCTGGTTGGCAGACCGCCAGCTCAGGATGAAATACAGAATAACCAGGATAAACATCCAAACAGCGTACATGATAAACAGGTAGAGAGGCGATCCATACAAAGTGAGACCAAGAGGGATCTGTGCCATTCCCAGGAGGGCGATTGACCGACCGATCCATTGGTGAATCATGATGCGCAAAGATCGAGCCTTGGTAATCCTGCGTACAATCCAACCACCGAGTACCTGGACCAGGAAGAGGGTGAATATCGCAACACCGATTCCATGATGCGGGTTAGTCAAACTTCTTTCCGGGCCAACTGCAAAGTAGCCCAGAATGAATACGGGTACCAAGAGCAAGACAGAGAAGACGTTAAGTTGGGCATGATACTTAATGGCCCAGCCGGGACGTCGTGAGTAGAATCTTGCAGTCATGACCGAGAAAGGTATGAGGAAAAGGAAGACGATAACACCCAAAAGACCGTGTGCTAAGACAAGGCCATGATACTGGGTAAGTGTCGAGAATCGATTTCCCATGCCTGTGACTCAGTGTTAGTCGGATCCTGTGCACAAAACTACGATTTGGGTTGAATACCATTGTAGCGGGTAGTCTCGAAGTTGGTGCCCTGCAAATTGGGCAATAAAAAAGTATTCTTGTCAAAATCCCACGTCCCATCTCCAACAACCTGAGTGTTTGAATCATAACTGACTGCACCAGGTGCAGAGAATTCGCCTGCTGCCGGCGCCATGATGGCGACGACAATGAGAAAGGTTCTGTTTCAGATTGGGTCGATGTATTTCGTGCGATCAAGTAGTGGACGTCTGTAGGGTCTGGATATGGATCGTGTCTCGAGATCGGAATGCGGAAAGATGCGTGGGCTATCTACTGTTGGTGTTTTCGCAAGTTGCGTATAGGTCAAGAAGCGGATGACGATGTCTTAGGCTATGGAGCCTGTCAGAAACATATTGCTCGTGCTATCTTAATGGTCGTAAAATCGTTAAAGCAGACAGAGCAAAGAGAAAAAGACAAAAATGGCTAGAGAGTCCGTCAAGTCTGTAGAACGGAAGATGGAGACACAAACCAAGCCAAGCTTGAATGAAGACTTGGAATTTGAGACTTGGGACTTGGGGACTTGGAAAGATGGTTCGCCCTTCCCGTCACCGTTGGTTGCTAGGCGTGGTTGGTGGGGAAACCGCGGGACTAGGGGACTAGCCAGCGCATCCATCATACGCCGTAGCGTAGCGTACAGCGATCCAGTGAGTGGGCAGAACAAGACCTTGGACCTGCCAGGTTAGGCACTTTTCATGGTAAATGTGGGGTCTGTATACGTATTGGATCTTGCTACTGGTGGTGGTCAGCGGTGTAGATTCTGACTCTAAGCTATGAACCATTCTTTCATGAGCTATCCAACACAATGCATTGTATTAGAGATCAATTAGCTTTGAAAACGGGCAGCCAAAACGATCAACTAGACAACCTTGGGCTACACAACATGATCTTAAAAAAATCCAAGCCTGACGCAAAAAGTGTGCATATCGTACTAAAGAATGACTCGTCCCGTCCCTCACCGTATCTATGATCAAACCCACATGGTATATTTTTGAAACCTGACATAAACGAACGCTTCGGCTACGAATCGAGTTGACGTGTTAAGTCAGCCTTTGCATCTATATCGCTCAGGTCAGGTCAGGCCAAGTCAGGCAAGGTCAGGGGACTTGTCGATCTGTGCGTTGTCCCAACCTCTTGTCTTCCTCTGTCGGGCCCAGTTGCCGTATGATCCGTATCGTCTGTACCTGAGAGATGTAACCCAGTTGTCATGATTTGTGAATAATTCTGTTACGCAAAGACCATCAAGCTGAGATAGAATAGTAGGGTCTAACCGCAGTTTCCCCAGAGACGATCGGTTATCCCGATATTGTAGTCATAGTGTCGCTACCAGCTTTGTACCAAGATCCATCATATGCAGGTACATCGATCGCTTCTTATTAGTGTCTAATGCATCTTCTAGAATACAAGACATGACTCTGTATGCAGTGTGCGGGTAAGTTGGTTGGACTTGCTTTTTACCATGCAAATGTAATAGTATTAAATAAATAATAATATTGATAATACATGAATTAAGTAACAAGGCCTCTCACTTCCTCAACATAAGAACCAGCCACGCTGCAATCCTATATCCAGCAATGATGGAAATCATGATGCCCACGTTTCTACCCAAATGACCACTAGAATAACCATATTGATTCAGCACAGCTTGTCCATCAATCTCACACTGATCCGCCAAAGGAGATCGGTACATGCATTGGCATCCATCGCCACAGCTATACACGCGCTTCGAAAACTCATTCACCATCATGCCTTCAAAGACATACTTCTGATAATCCCAATAGTGGAACACGTACTTGTAAAAGACGTTTAGAATCGTTGGGGGCACCATGAACCCACCGACAGACATCCACAAACCGTTTGCGAAAGCCACCAGTGCAAGCGAGATGACAAAGCTTGGGAACAACGACGTCATGAAAACGACGAGCGACTCGGCTGCCAACAGGTCAAGGAACAGCCACATGACCCATGTAAAAAACGCCGTTGCCGTGGGCTGAAAGTTGGAGAGCCAGTATGAGATAACCGAAAACAGAGCCGATATGATGAAGAGATACGGTATACCGATCAAGAAGTTGGACAAGATCAGTTCGGTAGCACCGTACAGACCGTTGTGGTGCTCTTTGACGTACTGCAGTCGGTCTTCGATAAATGCAGGGACATAAGCCACAGCCATGAAGCTCATAAAGGCTGAGCCAAAGAAGATGGCATTGATGAATGGTTGGATAGACTCTTGTTCTGGATCTAATCTCAGCCAAACAGTGCCCATCATGATTGCCAAGCCCAAGTACATGGCTAGGCGAATACCATAAGCGACAACATCTCGATAGCTCTTAATAAAGCTTCGGTGTAGCAAAGTCAACGTGAGGCTCGGCATGCTGGGCCTCTTCTCGATAGTCTCAACACTCCAATCGCCACCTGAAGATTCGGCAGTCTTGATTGCATCACTGACTTGGCTCGCCTGTTGCGAAGCCACCCAAGAATCCTGCAGCGATCCAAGGTTGCGCGATGCTTCGCCCCTATTTTGAGCAAAATCAATGTTGACCAGTTCAAGGAGATGCTCTGCTGGGTTGACGTATTGAGGCAGTGGAGCTTCAACTTGGGCGTAATAGGCAGCGACACTGCTTACAGGGCCAAAGTAATGTGTCTTTCCACCTGAGAGGAGAAGCAGTTTATCAAACATGTTAAAGGTCGAAGTTGAAGGTTGATGAATAGAGCAAATGACAATGAGATTGTTGCGTTTCGCTACTACGCGAAGATACTTGACCACCTCTAGACTAGCAGCCGAGTCAAGACCACTTGTAGGTTCGTCAAGGAAAAGAAGCTTAGGGCTAGTGATCAGTTGACTCGCAACGCCTACACGGCGCTTCTGGCCGCCTGAAATGCCCTTGCGGATGGGGGTGCCGATGAGAGTGTTGGCTTGTTCGACCAGGCCAAAAGATTCGAGAAGGTTGTCTATACGAACATTACGTTCCTTTTTAGACAGAGAGCTATCACAAGTTAGATGATACCATTTACGTAATTGACTTCAAAACACTTACCTTGAACTGGCGAGTCGTGATGAGAACTCGAGTGTTTCTCGAACAGTCAACGATCCAATGAGAGCATCTTCCTGCTCAACAAAGCACGATACTTCTCGAAACTCTGCAAGTGATAAGTGCTTGCCGTTGACAAGTACTTGTTCTTCGACATTGCTCGCATTTGTCGGACGGCGTGCTAACACGTTGAGAAGCGTTGTCTTGCCACAGCCAGAAGGTCCCATGAGGGCGCATATCTCGCCGGCTTCAACAATACCTTGAACATTATCAACAATCGCCTTTGGCTGCTTGGTCTCTCTATCCTTGACAGTTACGGTGACGTTGCTCCAGGTAAAGTTTTTAATTGTCGTGTTGATGAGATGCTTCTCCGCAACTGGACGTTGTTCAGAGTCCATGCTGTGTTCTGAGCCTTTTAGTGCCATGATGGTATGATTGAATGATTAAATGATATCAAAGGAGTAATTAACACATTATACATTTAGGGAATTTCACTTCTTAAATCCGATGAATTCGTTATTTTATTATTATTGAAGTGAGACAAAGATGACATGCGTCTCAGCCGCCGGCGTCTTGAATATTGCCCGTGTCATCTACGGGCTGCCCGCTACCTCAGCCCAAATTTAGCTAAAGGTCAAATCAGCGAATATTACCTATAATTTGTGATACGTCACTCAGCCACAAATCTTTTCGGCCCGCAGTGCGTTGGGGTGGATGTGAAGTATCCAATGCAGTCTTCATTCCATGCAGCTACCATTCACTCTTTTACACCAACTATTTTGCCAAGGCTCGACTAGTGCAATTGCCCTTCAAAATTAGTCAAATTCAAAGATACAAGTTTCTAGTCGTCGTGTAATACAATGTTGTGATAGTGATGAGTTGGAAGTATGCGATTCCTCTGAGCACCAGTTTGTGGACATGGTAATATCCACGTCATCTTATTTACATCGGCGTCTATTCAGCTCCGACCAAGACCGGTAAGGAATTGCCGAATCCATCTAAACTTTGAAGCACTCTTCCTTAATTGGTTACCGCTGACTTGGTGTAAGATACAGGGCTGAGTTTAGACAAGCGTCCCTTCGGACCCTCGGGGACTAGAAAAGTACGTATTGGAGCTATCTTGACAACACGTGAAAATTAATAATTGCAAATACAATCAAGGGACTTTGATAAGCCACAAGTCTCATCGCTCATTATGGAAGGCTGCAGTATGTCTGTCTAACTATTGTAGGTTTGGTATCCGTTTACTGGCCCAGCATGCCAGGCATACTCGATATAGTCTCAAACTCTTGCATAATAGCCTCATCCTCGGCAATTATATTCATTGCCGCTTCGTGATTAATACCATACCAAACCTGAGGCATCAGTTGCTTCTGTTTCTTCCCTTGGTAGACGTCCTGCGCCATACTTTTCGCTGAGCGGCCTTCTCGTTCAGCAGCGCTCCATATTGGAGCCATTTTTAAGAAAGCAGTGTTGTTAAGTCGAATAAACCGATGTACTCTGCTGTAGCCGTCTTCATGTGGTGCAAGGGGCAGAGCCCATTTGGTAAGGTGTATTGTGGAGGACATCCGTACCACGTAGCTGAGGAAGTGTGTATGTGAAAGAAGTGAGACGCGATGGGTAAGAAGTTTGCTGATTTCTGCGGCGGAATATATCGTGTACTTTGTATGGGCGTCGAGGTTGTCGTTCGAGCCATGTATAGTGCTTGGGTCAGCCAATTGGCTTGACGACAAGTTCAACTGCGAGTACGGTTGGTGAAGCAGAATCGACGTGGTGTGGGCTATCATATACGCCTGGAACATCATTTCGTCCAATCTGCCACTCTGGTATAACCCGTCCTTTTTTGACTGGGGGAGACTGCGACGCCAGTCTGTGAGTAATGTCTCGATACGGCCGAGGCTTTCATCGTCGGGTCCAGTGGCAGGGCCACTCCTCAAGAGCTTGCCGAGGATCTGAGCGGATTTAACTCGATATGTGAACGATGAGAACTCACGGTTCAGACCATAGAAACTACTATCGTCCACATCTTCGAGGTACGCAGGCTGTGGAATGTCCTTGACAGGTTAGTCAGTCAAGGTATAACAGTTGAACAGAAAAAATGAGACTCACCTCCGAGAGGTATTGGTATTCCTCACAGGGAAGCGCTACGTCAGAAACAAAGTCGAATAGCGGAAAGTTTGTCTTCTTGTGAATCCCAGCAATCAGGCCGTCGATTACAAAAAGCTCCCACCAAGTTCGTCGCCAACTCTCTTCCATTACTGCTATCCCGCGCCCGTGTATATTTGCAAAGGATATTGTGTTGAGGCCTATCTCAATGGCAATTGTCTCAACCTCGGACAGTATTTCTCGAGCCTTTTCTTGCAGGCCCTGTCCGTCGAGACAAATTAGGAGAAGCAACAAGGCTTGAACCAGAAAGCCGTCTTTGCGACGATCATGCTTGTAGATTAATTGATGGGCTTCCTGGAAGAGTTGGCCCCGATGTGGACATGCAGGTATATACAGCGAACCTATCCAGCGCATTGCAGCGACTACAGGTTCCAAAGCTGTCTCATGCCTAATGCTGAGAAGAGCTTCCTTTGGCAATACAAAGGGATGAGCAGCATGAAAGTAATTGTAGAAATAGTCGATACAGCGTTCGGCAAAAGTAGGTATTGCGATTTGTGTAGGAATGGATTCGTGGTGTTGGTTGGCGAAAAGGTTGAATATGTCGTTAGATGGATCTGGAGTGCCGTATGGTTGAAAGAAAGATGCGTCGGTCTCCATGCTACTGCTCGTGGCTAGAGCAGGATCAAGGAATGGAGTTGACAATGGCGAGCTCCACATGTCATCGCCCATGTAAGGGGTCCAGAAGGCAGAATCCGTGCCCAGAGCAGGAGACTGTGATGATACTGGAAACGGAGAGTGAGTTGATCGAAGCGACATGGGGCCATCGCCACTTCGACTTGGTGCTCGAGATTGACCGGGTGATGAACTAGGACGTTTCGTGACTTTCTGGGTGGTGTTCCGTCGAGGGCCTTTGTAACCACGTCTTGAGGCAACATAAACACAATCAGAGCCAGAAGTGAGACAACGAGAGCATGGGTTCACTCCGTCACATTTTAGGTGCTTGCTTCGCTAATGAGAAGGTTTTGTTAGCACCATGGCAAAGGGACCTAATGAGATAAGAGGAAACTTACACAGGCTAGGCAAGCAGCTGGGACAGAAGTGACACTGAGGCGACCTGCTTCAGTCGCCGCCGATATCGAGCCACAGGGTGAAGTCCTTCCGTCAGTTGTGAAGGCGGTAGAGCTAGGGGAATTTGAGTTGGAAGATAACTCTTCAGGCCCTGAGAGCGCATCCTCTCTGCTATTCAGAATGGTCTGCTGGAAAGCATTCAATGAGCTCATAGTAGGCGATTTCCAGCTGTGATGGGCCTTCTTGTTCGTGTAAGAGTATGGAGTATAAGGGAGTGGAGAGTAGAAAGACAGAGGGGAAGAGGAGGAAGCATGAGGTCGTGAAGTGTTAGTACTCATATCGAAAGATATAGACCTTGTGGAGACTGATGAAAGTGGCTTTTTTATCTAAATAAAATAGACGATTCCAAGTTTAGAATATAAGCCGGTGAGTGAGTTGAGACTTTGTAACGCAGGGCGTGAGTGACAGCACCGGCACTTGGGAGAGTAAACTGCTTACTGTATTAATGATGCTATGTTTAAACAGCTAAATTCGCTAGTTGAATAACCATCTAATAATACTAGCAGCATTTTGGCAGGAGAAGAGAATGTTCCAGGATGATCCATTTATTATGTATTCTCTTGGCTTTCCAGAAAATAAGGCACGGCAGTCGAGTGCCATGGGGGATGGAGCAGCCCTCCATCCATCCATCCACATGCCCTGCAAGGCAACGCAATAATACACCCCTGGTCAGTAGCCTAGCTCTCTAACAACCTGGCCACTCAGTGGACGTAGGCTCTGTGCGATACGTACATTAATGAAGCCTGATGATAAGTTAGGTATGTGGTCCAGTATCTCTTTTAGGAATCCCGTTTACTGTGAACCAAACATGGATCTTACAAGGTCCCAACTTCAGCCCTAACTAGCGGGAAACAGGGGTTAGTTAATTTCCATACCACCCGTATTTAGCGTAGAGCCTGAGCTCATGGCAATCTGGGGTGGTTGAAGACTGGGCTGAATTCTTGGCTACGTACTCCAAATCCCCCATACATACAACTTGATTGTTTTTCTAAGGTACTCATGCAGAGGGTCATCACGTGAATCAAACGGTACCGGTATGGCGTCGGTCATCGCCGTAGCTCTGCGTGTTGACAGGGGTTGATACAGAAAACACCACCGACTGCCATTCGCAGTGAAACCTTCGTCCTGGCCAATGAGCTGTCACAAAATGGCGGTAGAGACTCTCTTTCCTGCATCACACAAATCGTCTAGCCTTGTGAGGCAACTTTGAGGCTAGTCAAGTCTCAATTCTATTACAAGGACATGAGGGGTGTTTATATTCAGTGAATTACTCGTTGATATCTTGGTAAAAACACACATAGACAGACTTGAAGCTATTCTCGGTGCGGGCGTTAAAGGACTACAGTCTAAAGGATAGTCTCATGGCACTTCAGATCGTGGTCCGGTAGTCAAAATCCGGTCCAAGCGCATGGTAAAGCATTGCTCCTAGTGTACCGAGACACTGGAGACATATCAGTTCCGATTATTTCCTAACGTCTTGGTATGTATGACAGATGTTTAAAGAGTCTTAGCGCTGAAAGTGACACTGCCTTTGTGCCACGGTCGGCCGCTCGTCGAGGATCAATGGTCGGCCGCTTGTTGGAGATCAACTAACAAGTACCTTGTCGCACGTATCAAGACACGACCTGAGCTTAGAAGCTGAAGTTCCTTGACAGGCCCAAGCTTCTGCCAAGTCTTTTCTAGTCGAATAAGCCACCGGCATGTTGTATCGTGGGTAAAAAAACGGTTGTGATGAAAGAACTCGCTTGCATGCATGCCGGCAAGGCAATGCCACACAACTCAATTCGAGCCACTTTTCTAGCATATCCTGACTCGTTCTGAGCCAATACTTGAAATACAAATACATGAAAAGGGTAATTGCGGCCCGCAGAGCGTGTGGCATGCCCTCAGCCTTGACAGCTCGGCGGGCAACGTACCCGGTCGTCTGGGATGGCTTACTGAGCGAGAATGAAGGCTGATTACCGTCATGGTTTACCCACCTTTCTGAATAGGTTAGCGTTGCGCAAGAATTGGGGATGCTTCTTTTTTCATGATACCGAACTTTGGATCTTCAAAGCTCGCTCAACATGCAAGCCTTTGAATTATCAACTCTGTTACAAGAATAATGCTATGCAACTTGGCGGTCTGGCTAACAATTTCTGGTTTTGCTTTTGTTGATGAGGCCAGAAATGAATAGTAATTACAATTTCTAATCAGTGGGGTTTCTATTATCAGTACCTAGGAGTTGCTACTTACAGTATTTCCGTACCATGTTATCACCCCGCATGATATTATTTCAGCCATCTCTTCATTGTAGCTAGTCTGAAACTGATAGCTCTACCTGACCACAACGGCGTTCTCTCGGCTTTGCTTGCGCCTCGTTCAGCTGCACAGCCTCCCGCTTCGTCTTTGCTCCGGGGCAAGATCTGAGAATAAGCTGCAGTTGAGAGCAGGCCAAGCCGTAATGGATCCAATATCACTTGCCGGCTTGGCGCTAGGAGTTGCTTCCATCAGCTTGCAAGTCTATACGGGATGTATTCAAGGTACCTACCTAATTTCCCGCCCAGTCAATCATACTCAGCGTTGACCTTGCGTCAGGGATACAGCTTCTTATCACGGCTTTGGGTTATGAGGATGACTGCAAGTATCTCAATCTGCGCCTTAGGATGGAGCAGCAACGCCTGTTTTGCTGGAGTGAGGCATCCGGCCTTCTTGATCTAGATGCCAAGAATCAGGAAAAGGTCCTCAACTCCAACGTGTTCAATCTTCATCGTCAGACTGTAATCGATCTGCTTGTCCAGATTCAATGTCTGTTTAATGAGTTTACCGAGTATCAGAAGAAACACAACAACCTCTTTGTTGTGGCGGATAGGGATGGTGCTTTAGAGTCTCCAGAGAAAGATGCCAAGCTGTCAAACTATCCCATGACTGAGAAGAAAAGGAACTTTATCAAAAAGGCCATGTCTGAGCTCAAGAACAAGTCCTCTGATAATCTCACTAGACTGCGATGGAGTTCGTTTGACAAGCAAGGATTTGAGAAACTTCTGGCCAAGTTCTCACTACTTAATGACAACATGACAAATATCCTCGACCACTCATTGCAGGTCGAGATTCGCAACACTGTACAAGATACTAACCGTGGGGTCCTATTACTCCATCACAAGATCGCCGATCTGAGTCATCTCGTGTTAGCTCTCAAGTCCCAGCTTGACGCAAACTCTCCAGGGGGGGGCTCGCAGATGTCCAAGCGGGAGAGGGAGGCCAACGCTGACGCGTTAAGGCAGTTATCGAGACTTGCCAAGTTCAAAGCGTTCAACGAGACTATCGACCCAATGACAGAAAATCCTACAGTTATCGATGAAGCTGCTGCCAGGTTCCTGGACCTTGCCAAGCCTGGCCATCAACGGAACCTGTTCATTCCGCGATATCTCATCGAGTTGGATCCCGAGGTTGATGAATCAGAAGCCCCAAGATGCGAAGCATTAATGAAAACAGCCCTAGGTAAGAAAAAGGTTTGGATCGAGTGGAAGGACTATGACAACGCAGACACACAACCAGGTTCTCTCTCCAAAGCCGACATAATCGAGCGAGTCCGCAAATTGGCTGCTCTCTTGAATCACAGTCCAAAGCCAGAGGCTTTCTGCACACCTCACTGTCTTGGTTTCTTTGACAAGGCCGATCCAAGTGTCGCAGACGACGACGTTGACATTCTCGACCGCCGACTCGGTCTCATATTTGAACGTCCGTCCGACGACAACTTGCATGCGTCACTGCCGCCTGTGTCGCTTCGTGAGCTTCTCCAGGACCCCAGTATTCGCAAGCCGCGCGTCACAGAACGAGTTCACATTGCGCATGCCCTCAGCAACTGTCTTCTTTACCTCCACGCTGTCCAATGGCTACACAAAGGCCTCCGCGGTCATAATGTGTTGTTCTTTCGAGCACGCGACGGACGTGTTGATTATCGACAGCCGTTCCTTTCGGGCTTTGACTTCTCCCGCCCAGGTGGCTCGGAAGAGATGACTGATGCGCCGGGAGATGATGCAGAGCACGATCTGTACAGACACCCAAACGCCCAGTCAAATCGTAGACGGGACAGAGAGCGATCAAAGAAGAGCTTCGATATTTACAGTCTGGGCGTTATCCTGGTCGAACTGGCGCACTGGCAGCCTATTGAATATGTTTTGCGCATTGATATACGACGTGCGCGCGGACGGCCAGATATTGTGCGCGGCATTCGAGATGCTCTGTTGAAAGAGGATAGAGTTGCAGCGATCGGCGCTGATATGGGAGAGAGGTTTGAGAATGCGACAAGGAAATGCCTGGATGGTGGTGAAGAGCTGGGACTCAAAGAAGGCGATGACGAGACTCAAGATGAAGTCGCTGAGAAGTTATCAATGACATTTTATGAGGATGTGGTTAAGCGACTTGAAGAAGTTGTTGTCTAGAATAATTTGAAACTATGGAGTGGTCACTGAAGATGAACAAAAACAAAATATCCGTGGTATAGTCATTATTAGATATGAATAGAACGTAAATAGTTCGTTACATCATTAGCCAATGATTGTATATATCCCTTTGATAAATCCTCCTAATATTAATGCCTGAACGCCAGAGCTATACTCTATTCTCTCCGTGTTTGATCATGGAATCACATTAACAGCAGCAGTCTAGGCATTCAAAGCAACATAGACCAGCGCAAATGCCACAGCAGATAGCCTTGGGGTGTTAGTTATTTGCTAGTAGAGGTTTGAGGAGTTGGTTATTCTTACACCGCCGTCGCCATTCTTGCCTCCTCGCATGCTCAGTTCAGGTTGTTCCATGGTCATGGGTTGAATCGGTCGCTATTAGAAGTCAGTTAGTAAATACTCAAATCGCCGTTCAAACTCATATTTGGGCTGATAGAAAATGAGATGTTTGAAAGAATCCGGTCAAGCCGGAGGTTAATGGTTCCACCTACCGGCTGTTCGGTGCTAGTTCGTTCAGCAGCAAACGCTACGGGGGCCGGCTCACGGGGCATTTGCATTTGGGAGGAAGTTGAAGCAGGCATCTTGAAGTTTTTGTATAACAATTGTGCGGATAGGGATTGGATAGTTCAATAGTGTGAGATGTGAAGAGAAAAAGGTTGAAAAAGAAAGGCAAGAATCAGGCTTGAACAAAGAGCGCGACAATGTTGTTATAAACTCTCTCCAGGATGGTAGGCAATGGTTACATTACCAGGTCCAAGGTTCTAGATTAACGGCCCGGTACAGGCGCCTTGGGCACTGAAAATAGTTACTCACTGATCAATAAGTGATCCTTCTCGGCACATGAACGCATCTGCCAGTCATTAGACCAGGACTCTCTAGTGCCGTGACCTCCGAGTGAGGTCAGCTGGAACCCACATGGGATATCGAGTCAATTACAGTACAGAATAGAACCACAATCTTCTACGGCAGGGTAGCGTAGCAGTAGTTTGCCTAATTCGGAAACTGTCGACATCATGTTGTGAAAAGAATGATTTGAGATGTACTACCTAGAAACATAATAAGATCATCTCAAAGTCAAGTACTGCAAAAGTACTGGGCTTTCTCTTTGCCGTTTGTGGCTGCTGATGGGAACAAACTCTGTCTCTTTTAGTACAGACGGGACGCCCGATGTCGCGGGCTAAAATGAGCCTGAAAAGGCATAAAAGGACTGAGAAGAAAACATCAGATCAGTCCATGGAAACAATGACGTAGTTTTGACGAACCATTTGAGTGGTTGCAGGTTGACCCCTGCTCACGAACCAGTGGAGGGCTTCCCGGGATAAGTCTAAACACAGCCTCTTATTTCCTCTAAGCTCGAGTCTACTGTAATGTAATGTTACAGCACATGTATTCTAGAAGGTCCTTATCGAACCATTTTCTTGGTTTTCCCGTCGGGTCTTTATTTACAAAGATCTGCAATCACACATTTTACTAAGAATAGATACATTGGTCGGCCGAGTCTTTGGTTGGTGTTGGCTTATTTTTGCAGCAGACGAACGAGTATAATGGTGGAACAACATCTGTGTAATTGAGATGTGCCACTTCAAATAGGTCGAAGCTGAGGCGTTGGCAAATAGAAGATGTACTGACTTGAGCTGAAATCAACATCCAGCAGGAATGACGACTTTAAGCTCAAGTCTAGCTGAGGTTCGTAACCTCGTTACAGGTTCCTACAAGACTGGACATGAAACTAGAATATATCAGAGATCTGACACTTCTCTATTAGAGGATTTTTACGCTAAAACAATTCCATATCGTTAATCTCAAACTTACAACCACACATAGTTGGGAGAACAGAACCGTCTCCATGATATATTCATGATGCAGGGTAGATGGAATGCCGAGCATAGGCAGACTTACAACAGAACAGGTACTGCCGAACAAAATAACGAATAAAATGAGAGCACCCTGGACTCGAAGCTGAAAATTATCCTCTATTGTTACCCTACTATTTACTTTATGCAAATGTCTATTCGTTCCTTTCTGGACCTCTTTGCGCTATTTATCAGTGGACTACCTACGTGTCAAGGGCCCATCCTGCAGAGAGCCGCATTCTCGGCAACTCCCTATTCGCTACTGGAGTGAAATGTCAAATGTCGAGGTCGAAAGTTGATGCATGCAGAAAATTAAAGTACTCCGTTGAACAACACATCATTGACCCGCTTGTCCGCTGTAGTGATGTGTAAAGACGAAACGAAACTTTATCAGTCAGGTCAGGTGGATGAAACATCGGTCTAGCATACCAGCCATAACATTATCCGTCACAAAACTTGACCAACCTAAACCATTGTCAGATCCAAGACATTGACCAAATTGAAAGTCACGCTCCAAGTACAGCCACGTGCTGCTTTGATATAAAAGACAAAAGTAACTGTAGTACACAGATAGTTCATCCGTTTACATTACTTTATAAAAAAATATTTACCGATAATTCTCCGCCTCGTCGAAACACTCATTGGATGAATGGAATGCTCACCAACAGTGGAGTGCTCGATCCGGGGAGGCTAAGCCCAAGCCACTGAGCAGCGAACCTATGGACCTAACTCCAGTACTGTAGATTACCTACCTGGGTATGATAGGCAGGTCAGGCCTGCAACCTCCAACATCTTGCCAAGGGGCCATGTGTTTTTGCATCAACTCGACCATGCGCCCGCTTTGAATTGATCTATTGCTTGATTGTGTGTGCTTGATCCAGATGACTTGAATCTTCAGCTTTGCCATTTCTTCTACTCCAACCCTCAACTACTTCGACCCCTTTCCGACCGCCATTGTTCGTCCTCTCTTGGCTCCTTGGCTCTAGCTTGCTCCCTCCCCCACGGACGGGGTTGCCGTCATCTCCCTCACCTTCGAATCGCTCCTCAACCGTCATCGTCCAAACTTCTCGATACCTCTGCCCACGATGGCTTCACACGGTCAATACCCTCCCGCACACATGTTGGCCAACAAACACCATCATGCTCCTTACGGTTCCGCCCCCGTAGCTGTCCCTGGAGTCGCTCCCGCTGGCACCTTCGCGCCAGGCACCAAGATTCAGGTTGGCAGTCACCGTGTGGTGATTCAAAAATATCTCTCCGAAGGAGGCTTTGCCCATGTATACCTCGTCAAGTTGGCCAAGCCTGTTGACGGCACTGATCAAGCTGTCCTGAAGCGAGTTGCGGTGCCTGATAAGGATACCTTGCGGGGCATGCGCACCGAGGTTGAAACAATGAAGCGCCTCAAAGGCCACCGACCGATCGTTACATATATCGACTCGCATGCTTCTGAACTTCAAGGAGGTGGTTATGAAGTTTTTCTGCTAATGGAGTTTTGCGATGGCGGTGGTTTGATCGATTTTATGAACACCAGGCTACAACACCGCCTTACCGAACCCGAGATCCTCAACATCTTCACCGACATCGCTGAGGGTCTCGCGTGTATGCACTACCTTAAACCACCACTGCTGCATCGTGATATCAAAGTTGAAAATGTCCTTATTACCGCCAGAGGATCTTCTAAACGATTTAAGCTTTGCGATTTCGGATCAGCAGCATCGCCTCAACCCGCCCCCACCACCGTCACTGAATGCCGCCTTGTGGACGAAGACATTCAGAAACACACCACGATGCAGTACAGGAGTCCCGAGATGATTGATGTATACCGCAAGCAACCTATAAACGAAAAGTCTGATATTTGGGCATTGGGCGTTTTGCTGTACAAGTTGTGCTACTATACTACACCTTTCGAGGACCAGGGCCAATTGGCGATTTTAAACGCCAGCTACCGATTCCCTAGTCACCCAGTCTTTTCCGACAGACTCAAGAAATTGATAGGTACTGCTCGTTGGCCCTGGATTGTTTCATAAATACTAACAGAATGTAGCCTCAATGTTGAGAGAAAACCTTCACGATCGACCAAACATTTACCAAGTGTTAAAGGAAGGATGCGCAATGCAAGGACGCGATGTTCCTGTTCATGATGTAAGTATATCATCCCAAACAAATGAGCCCATATTGACAATTCGCAGATCTACAGCGGCCGTTCTCAACCCCACACTAGAACTGACAGCCCCCAACACATTGCTCAGAAACCGGACCAAGCGCCAGCTGTGGGCGCTGTTTTCGAACGAGTCGAACCTAAGAAACAGTTCATCCCCGATGTCGTGCCCATGAGGAGAGGACGACCGACTGCTTCCCCAGCCCCAGGCAACGTATCCCAGAAACCGGAAGCTTCCCCTATGCGGAAGGCAGGAGGAGATCCCTTCGCGGCTCTGGATGCAAAGGCCGCTCCAAAGGGATTTGATGAATTGTCGTCTCGTTTCCCTACACTTGACCAATTCTCCCTGTTGCACGATCAGGGAAGCAAGTTCGATTTCGATGTTTCCTCACCAATTTCGCCAGTCAACGCATCCTCAGATCTCAACGACAGAGTGACTGCAAAATTAGCTGAAGAGGCCTTTGCAGCTCCCCCAACCGATTCTCCTCGCCCAAAACCAGTATCTAGGACGCATTCGGTCACCCCTGTTGGACACCAAGCTGCTGTCGCTTCACCTCCTCTTGAGCCTTCACTGACAAAGACTTTATCTGCACCAAGTAGACCTGATATCAGTAGGGCACAGTCCATTATCAGCAACAACCCCGAGTTACAGGCCATCTCTTCTCAGTCTGGCTCGCGATATGTCTCTACCGGCACAATGACCTCAACGCCACCACTGGAAAGATTCAACCAAGAGGCGGAGCAGCCTACTCAGCATGATGCTCATGATTATGCTCGAGCTAGCAGCGCTACAAGGCAGCCTGACCAAAGCGCAGGGCAATGGAATGCGGAAGAACCTCGCCCTTCTTTCATTCAAAGAATCCCATCTTTCCAGCAGCCTGGCCATGACCAGCAGCCGTCTTCATCTAGACCATCCCTCGAAGGTGGCCGTCCTCGTATTGACCTCCTGGACCCATCAGCTCGTGCTTCACCAGCTCCGTCAGCTCCATCAGCTCTGCCACGGCCCCGACCCGCTAGCACTAACCTCGAGGGCACAACTCTTGATTTCCTGCGTGAGAGAGAGGCCGCATCGCGTTCCTCGAGTCGACCGCCTCGGGGCTCCTCTCCTTATCAGGAGCCTGCGGACGAGCCGCGCGCATCGAGCGATATGGACTTCTTGAGGAGTCTGGAAGACTCAGAGCGAGTCAAGACTGGCAAGCGCTCCAGCTTGACTGCACTGTCGGGCAACAAAAACATTCTTGCCGGTAAATTTGGAGATGCATTTAAGCTCTTCGAAGGCAGCTCTCCTAACAATGGAAGAGTTCCGTCGCCAGAGAGGGAGGCAAGCCGCCGTGATTTGACCCCCATTGCTGGATCCGAGGCAACCGACGGACGCAGCGACGATGGTCATGTTCATGAGGACGAAGACCGCGTAACACCTGAAATGAGGCGCGAGATTGAACGCTTGAAGCTTCTAGAAGAGGAGCAGCGGGTGGAAGCAGCACAAGCTGAATATCGGAAGCGGGTAGCTGCGGGACAGCGCGGGCCACCAGTTCCCCCAAAGAGCATCGGAGGAGTCTCGCGTGCTGTCAGTATTCAGAATCGAGTTCAAAGTCTTTTGAGCGAGGAACAAAAACCAGCCAACATTCAAAGGACTGCTCAAGGTTATGGAAAGTATACTGACACTTCTGAGGCTGGTGACAAGCCTGAGAAGCCTCTTCCAGGAGTGCCGAAGAAGCCTTTGAATGTGACAAAGACACGAGGTGATGCTTCTCAAGTCCACAGCCCTTCTTCAACAGCATCGGCGCCTGCAGCTCTCGCATCAAAGCCCCCAATGAAGCCTCCAGCTCCAAAGAAGCCAGTGCATCTCAACAGCCTCCCAACTGGTCAGAGGCCACCATCGCCTCAAAAGCCAAATCGTGCCCAAACGTCAGATGATCTAATCAGCATGGATAGTCCCGGGCAACAAATGCTGGAGATGACAGCTCAAGAGAAGGATGATTATCTACAGGACTTTTCCAAGCGGTTTCCCAGCCTAGGCTCGATTGAGATGGTCGAGAGGGAGATTGGTGGGCATAACGGAGGATCAACCCGATAAATAGACAATGGTGAAGGTATCTAGAACTGCCATATTGCATTACATGTACATTTGAATATACTCAGCGCATAGCGTCCAGCATATCAGTCAGTCAATCAATCGGATGAGCCTAGACCGTTCGTTAAGAAGGTCAAGCATGTGGTGGGGCTGGTACCCACCCTTATCTTATCTCTCAATATTTTTTTCTCCATTGCAAGCCAAGGCTCGTAGTGACTTGAACAGAAGCTTTCTGTAACGACTACCAAACATCAAAACAAATAAGACAAAATGGCCAAACGCAAGAGACAAGCCGTCGCACAGAGCGAGCCCGCTTCTGAGCCTTCCGTCATCACGAAGAAGGTCAAGGGCTCCAAGGTTCTCAAGGAAAAGCCCGTCAAGGAAAAGGCTTCCGCGCCTGCGAAGAAGACTACAACCACCAAGACCGCCTCGAATGCGCCCGAGACAATTCAAATCGTTGTCGGCTCCTACGATCGAATCCTTCACGGATTGGTAGTGACAGTTGGAGGCAAGGAGAAGGCCGAGTTCGCGGACTCGTTTTTGTTTAACGCCCATACTTCAGCTATCCGTTGCGTTGCTGTATCGCCCATTTCAGCGCCCGTCCCTGGACAGACACAAAAGGTCATGCTTGCTTCTGGTGCCACTGATGAGCGCGTGAATGTTTACAACCTATCTGCGCATCCCCCAAGCCGAAAGAACCAGGACCTTATGGCCAAGGTGGCACCACGACCGATTCTCGAGAACTCCAAGAATCGAGAGGTCGGCACGCTGCTTCACCACTCTTCAACGGTCACATCTCTTTGCTTCCCTACAAGGTCGAAGCTGCTATCGTCAAGTGAAGATTCTACGATTGCGGTCACACGAACCCGAGACTGGTCACTGCTTAGCAACATCAAGGCACCTATCGCCAAACCCATGGGCCGCCCCAGTGGTGATACAGCGCCTTTTGGAGGTACACCGTCTGGTGTCAACGACTTTGCCATCCACCCCAGCATGAAGCTTATGATTACTGTCAGCAAGGGCGAGCGTTCAATGCGATTATGGAACTTGGTCACTGGCAAGAAGGCTGGAGTGCTGAACTTCGGCAGGGAGATCCTGCAGGAGGCTGGTGAAGGAAAGCACTCTACTGGCGAGGGACGAAGAGTTGTTTGGGGAAGCGTTGATGGAGCGGATGAATTCGCTATTGGATTTGACCGGGATATTATTGCATTTGGCATGGACAGTGTGCCCAAGTGCAGAATTATGGGATCAATCCGAACAAAGGTGCATCAATTCTTTTATGTTGCATTGGACAAAGAGGGGGATACCAACCTTTTGGCCGTTGCCACTGAGGACGGCAGAATTCTGTTTTTCTCTACCAAGGAATCGGACCTCACAAAACCCGACTCGGAGGACAAGAAGCTTCCAACGGCCAAATTGGTGGGTCAGCTCGGCGGCAAGTCAGACGGAGTTCAGGGCCGCATCAAGGATTTTGTGGTGGTGCCGAGTGCGGAGGACGCCTCGACGCTGTACGTGGCTGGTGGAAGCAGTGATGGACGGGTCCGTTTGTGGCGAGTGGGAGTGTCGGAGTTGCAGGGTGACAGCAAGAATGAGGTTGAGGCCAAGGGGGAATTGTTGGGGACATATGAAACGCAAAACAGGATCACCTGCATGACGGGATTTATGATGATACCCCGGCCTGATGGCGTTGAGGATAGCGATGATGAGCTGGATGATGAGGACGAGGATGAGGGAAGCGATAGCGAAGAGGATTAAAATGGAGGTTAGTTTAAAGGGATGACGGATGTATGTCTGTACGCATGTGGCTGGCAGGTTATTGACGTTTCTGGTTAAATATAAACTAATGTATGAATACCTATTTGGTGATGATAAGATGGTGACTGTGGTGACTGTCAGCTTCTTATGCGCCCAGTATCACATGCAAATCGAAGTATGCGACCCACATAGATTGTGCTCACTGCAGTAAGACCAGGTTAGAGAATGCGATGATGAGACAGATTTGTGATACATAAGAAACGGTCCTGTTTCTTTCATGTATAAATGTGTTGCGGCTCTCGCGTGTTTCTTTGGTTTGACAAAGAGGTCGTTGGCTCCTCGTTCTTCAGCGGGCTTTAAAGCCAGGGGTGGGAACGTGCCTAGGCCCCGTGAATGGGGTACAGTAAAAAGGTACGACACTGTAGTCCATCACGAGGGGTTGTGAAATGCAAGTCAAGAACATAAAGTGACCAACCACGGAGTCTGGAATTCGAGCTTGAGGTATCCTGAATGTGGGGTAATGGACGCGATTGGACGGATGCATTGATGATCGGGAATGGGTCCCGTATTTTAACACACAAGAGAAGGATTCTAAATACTGACTTGACAAAGGGTGTTTAGTTGTTAGTGGTCATTGTCACCTAACCCAGCTATTCAATTCTTCTTTCATCTACTCACATCAAAACTGCTTGTCAAAAACGACAATAAGCACTGACCTTTATAGTGACATCTCGAAAGTAAACAACAGGGATCCAATTCGTCCTCCATAGACAAGGGGTCTCCTGCAGTGGAGGTAAATGGGGCATATCTACGTAATTCCTGGGGCCACCAAACGACTAGTCGTGCGTCTCTTGTCATGTTTTCCATGTCTTGTGAGCATGTGAAGAACGTTGCCGTACATTAGTTTGGTAGGTACACTACAACTGTGCCTCCTCTTTTCTCTTCTTTTCCTTTTTCTAGTTTTTCAACATTATCCTTCTCAATCTATACTGGCTGAGCTTTGAGGCTTGTGTTTACTTTCCTCTCACATACCTCCTCTCGCCAATCTTTGACACTCAAGCCAACTCAGTCCAGGGACACTTCAGACTCTCAGCGTCTCAAACTGCAGAAGCAACCCAAACCCTTCAGTTGTTCTTCAATCTCTTTCCATTCACACTCAATTGCTTGCTCGGTTGCGGATCCTGGTTCTAGGTACCTATTTTTATCCGTGCTCATTAGCTTGAGTCGTGGAAGTAGACAGACAGACAGGGTTGTAAAGCCTTGTAGTAACCCAACAACTTCAACTTTTGACAAGCAATCTCTTTTTTGCCTTGTATTGAAATTCTGAAGGCTGCAACGCACAATTGCTTATCTGAATCAAGATTGTGAGTAAAGTGACATTGCATTGCATGATATTGAGACTTGCAGGTTCAGCTGAACTGGGGAGAGTCTAGAACCTGGGCCTCAATTTCCATTGCTGTTCACCCCAATATCATTTTGTTGAACCCTTTCTAACAACTTGAGTAATTATAGAAAACCAGACTTCACACATACACACAGAATGGCCGACGACGGACCTCCTCTCATTCGCCCCGTCCCTCGAAGACCTTTCGATCTCAATCTAACAACTCCTACACCCCCGAGCGAGAACTCGTCTCCCTCGACGCCCGCTCCAGCGCAAGACGCCAACATTGCGCGCTTCTTGCAACCAACGCCCGAACCTGGGAACTCAACCTTGAGCAGGCCGCAGTCGTTTATGAACTTGACGTCTTCAACGCTTTTCGGCATATACTCTCCCACTACATCATCCTCCTCGCGTGACCGCGTCTTTGCCGATCGCGATGAACTTGATACGCCGTGGGGCACAGGCGCTCAGACTCCCATCAAGCGACCCGGCATCGACGATGCCACATTCGACTTTATGAAAGATCGATCACATCAAATCCGTCGCCGATCGTCGATTCGCGCCCAACCACCTCCTGCGCCTGTGAAAACATCCCCTTCGGCTGGTGCTTTGGTTATGAGAGGGCTGTTGCTTTTCGTTCTCGGTGTTGGTTACGGTATGTTGGTCACGTCTCGCTTCAACAGTGACTCGGACAATCATGCCTCGGGTGGCACGTACAACTGGGCGCACCTATCATTTTGGGGTCTTGCTGGTGTTGCACTGGGAGCGCTGTTTCCTTGGTTCGATCGAGTCTGGGAGGACTCGTTTGGAGAAAAGGAGGATGAAGCTGTGGTTGAGAATGCTCCAGCAAAGGATGACGATTCGGGGACTGACTGGGCGATTGCGATCCGAGCTATCGGTGCCTTTGTAGGAATTGTATTTGCGATTGTAAGTCAACCAACAAGGAAATTATGTGTATGAGTGTAACTAACAGCCTGTAGCGCAAGGTGGCCTGGGCGTCCACTCTCCAAGTATCGCTAACACTGGCAATGGTCAACCCTCTCTTATGGTGGCTTATTGACCGCTCTAAGCCTGGATTCTTCCTTTCAACTGCTGTTGGCTTGACAGGATCGATTATTCTCCTTGGTGTGAACCCTGACATGATGCCTGCGCCCGCTCACGCTCCATTCAGACAGTTGGTGAATGCCACGACGCCATCCCAGGATGAAGTCGTGCCTATTCTTGGCGGATTCGCACACCAGGATACACTCGAGACAGGCATGTGGATGCTCAGTGTTCTCTTTTGTAGCTGCGTCTGCTTTGGCAACATCGGTCGTCGGCTCACTCTCGGCCCATCTGCTACAGCCAAGGGCCGTTGGGCTGGTGTAAGATGATGCGTAGCTAGGAACATATATATTATCATACGATGTATGTGTTTTTAGCTCAGTGTCTTACTGGCATCTGTGCAAAATCATTCCCCAGATTTAGGTCGTTGTTCTGTTGGGGAACGGAGGATTGGATATAGCCCTCAAGATTGGATGTAACGGCATTTTGTATATTTAGGCGTCAGGATTGTGATGACATGTTATGGTATTTGTCATGGAACCGAGATATGGAATCCAGGGTTTCGGGAAGGATGGAAAACCACACTATATATGTACTCTGTTTACGTATGGCACGGCACATGTTACTATATTTTCATCATCACTTCAATTTTTGATGTATATGGTGAGCTGTCACCACATTATGTGGATTGTATTTAGTAGATATCCTATAATTCAAGTCTACAGTTCACTATGGATCCATTTCCAACTTGTTCCGCCCCCTTTTGCTGGATTCTACTAGTAACGCCGAGGCTTGTTCTCTTGGTAGTCAATGAGAGCCTCCTGCACAGCTGCTGACGCTTTTTTGATGGGGTAACCAAAGTCGAAGTTGGTCGGCTCAAATATGTGGCATCTTTGCTCGCCTAGGCCGCCGTAGGTGATGGATAGGGTCTTTGGATGCTTCCATTGATCATCATGGCCTGGCATAGGAGGTCACGGAAAGAAAAGGCGGCAGCTGCAGGACTTGTGTTGGCTGATTATACGTGTCAATTTATGATTCGTGAATATCCTAGCTTAATATTGACTTACTACCGTAAATCTTGGGGACTTGATCAGGATGCTTGACTGGGCGGCTAGCGACCATGTTGTCTAGCTCGGTCATGATATAGTGAGCTCTCTTGGCAAAGTCCCAGATGCGGATCAGATCGGGGTTGGCATCGGGAGGAGTCTAGCTTTGGTGAGACTCAATGGCCGAAATGAGGTCGGAGAAACGAGCGGTGATGCCTTCACGTTGCGCCGGGCTGGGGATATCGGGGGGGAGCTCAGCAGTGGGAAACATGATGGTTGTATGATGAGGGAGGCGGTTCTAGTTGACGTTGATTAAGCAATACATAGATGCAATGCCGGGCCGGGAGAGTCGTATTTAAGTCATCAAACAAGAGTTGAGTTTGGTCGACTTGATTAAGTACAGGGGAAGACAAAACATAAACGCAGCATCAACGTCAGTGTCGCCAGGCTTCCTCGCCGCATTGCATTCATGCAAGGCATTCCTTTGTCCTGAGTGTTGTTTGCTCAATTGCTTGCCACAACGATTGGATCAAATTGTGTTGCTGATCAAGGTCCATGCCATGCCCAGCAATGCCAAGGGCCTGTGGCTTTTTTGGAGTCGTGTATCTCGTCAGAATCCTACCACCAACAACAAAGCTGAAGCTTTAGGCTGTTTCAACTACCAATTGGTCGTCTTGAACTGATCAACTGCCAAGAGAGGCTTCTGATAGATCATTTTGGTACTCAGATTGTTTTCTGACTGCATAAATAAGGAGCAATACAAAACATCGATCGGTGGTTCTAGAAGTTCGTTCAGGGGACGAATAGAAGCTATCGCCAGTACCTAAGCGGGAAAGTTTCCCGTGAAGCATGAGCACAAATCAATTTTGGAGCTGCTGCATTTTGACGATGGAGAAGTAAGCAATGGCGAAACTCGAACAAAGACGATAATAAAAACGGGAAAGGATTGACATGTGACAGGAGGGGGAAAACGATATTGTGAACAAAGAAAAGTTTTAGTATCGCAAGTAGCAGGCAAAGAGTACACTAGACTAAGTCAACAAAGGATCATTGCCTGGGCAAATCAGTTAGTTATACATCGAATAAATCGTATACCATTACTGAATAAGTAATCAATAGACCCCTAAGAAGCTCATGATGTGGGGGAGGCTCAACTAAAGATTCAGGGTCCTGGAGCCTGATCTTGAGCTTGAATTGTGTAAGGCTTGCTATTGGGCAGCCATTCGATAATACTTGCATGACGAAATCCGTTCCTCTTGGCAGCTGTTTCTAGCCATTAATTATGGATTAGAAGGAACCATCTTGACTAAGCGGGAGAATGTTCTCGTAAACTGTAGTTGGTTGCTTTGTTTGGTGTTGGGCTGGGCAACTCGTCATCCATTCATGACTTTTGTTGACAAGGTTCTCTCCACCAAGAAGCAATCCTAATCCGGGAACCTACATACAAGTTGGAGATGGTCTAGAACATGTGGAACATTGGCGAATGCGAACTGAACTAAACTGTTTTGAATAGAGAAGAGGGGTGTATGATGTTCAATAACGAAGCGTCATCAAGAACAGGGTCCTTCCTACCTGGACGTGGACATTCCAAAGGACAGGTACAAGCTGAACTAGCAAACTCATGATATACTGAAATGGTTGGTCACAAGGGAACCGCTGAAGAACCAACGTGATATTTGAAGGCTCGAATCGAGATGAGATCCTAGTACCACGCATGCGGCCAGGCTAAGTGTAGATAGTTCCCTTTCAGTTAGGTTAGTCACTATGCCTATACAGCCCAAGTACCTGGAAACCATTGTGTGACAAGAACAAGAACAAGCACAACTGTCAAGCTTGGGAAGTGTTTTTTTTTTTTTCCCTTTGCAAGGGAGGTTCGAATCCCAAGGAGAATTATTGGAATTGTATTGGCTGCATCTCGATCCGGGCCGCCACACCCTAGACTCATTGGGTAATGCGGGTAGGGCTTGGGAAAACGATGATGCGTAGATTAGATCCTGTCCAACTTGGTCAACGCCGCTGTTTCGTACCTGTCACTGAAGTTAAGATCTCAGATCCAAACTTTGGTCCAGTGTCTTGTTCTTGGGACCTTTCGGATGGCAAAAATGAACAAGTCGAGATCAACAGTACAAAATAGTATAGTTTGAAGGATCAAGGATAGTTAGTTTCTGTTGATACGGCGCATCGTACCCATGACTATCATCATGGATCCCCCATCACTATCGACATCCCTGTTCGTCTGGTTGTCGCCGAGAAACGTGCTTGTCATATGACGCCAACGACTCTGTTTGAGCCTCTTCTGACCCTGGATCCTTGGGAGTTTTGGGTTACCTAACTGTCTTGCAGTGAGTGCATACGCCAGATGAGTCGCTAGCTCAGGGCTCTAACCAGTCCCAGTACAGCCCGTGCTGGGTTGGTTAGTCCATCGCTGTCTTTTAGCTGTCTCGGATGTTGCCAGCCCGTTTTCTTTGCTGATGGCGGGTGGATTCTCCCTCTTATTAACCACTTTCTTAAGTAGCTTCGATGCGCCTGCTGCTTGTCCCGATGGCCGTTGCAACTTCTGCGCCATCAGGATCGTCAAAACACCAGTGCCATCACTCTCAAGACCCCTTTTTCTTGCGACACGGAACGGCGAACCCTTCTCTTCCCGGATCCTCCAAACCCCCAAAAAGAATTCCGAAATGGTATTCCGCGTCAAATAACAGAGAAGAACGGATAAGAGATCAGAGATCGGCAATGGACAAGACAAGCGACCCCATACGAGGGTCCCTGCGAAAAGAGACTGCGCTGTCTTGATCGAGTACCGTCTACCTTGGAAGGCCCTGTTTCTGCATCGCGATCTGCGATGGATGCTGATCACCTCGTGAGGCCATTGGCCATACTTGCGCTGCTGGAAAGCAACTTCAACGTTTGTGTTGCATTGCGTTGCACTGCGGTTTCTTTGAGGGAAAAGTTCCCGCTGTTCTTTTGTCTCTACCAGGTTTTGGGGTCTCTTATCCCACCCGGCCCATCGCATCCCTCTGAATTGCGTGTTGAATTGAGGCTGGGTGGTTTTCTGCAGATGGATTAATTCTTATTTTTAGGTTCGTTCTCTATCCCGGTAGGTCGGCAACAGGGACATCTATCCCCTAGAGTTACTGACAGTTCCCCAAAAGTGAATCTTGCCTTGAAAACGGGCAAGCCAGCAAAGTCTATGTTTGCGGCGCCTCGGCCGTTGAGAATACATACATGCCAACCTTAGAAGGTAGCCGCCGTACAGTATAAACTCCGTACCAGTATATTGGAAAGGCTGTTGGGCTGGATCTAGGTTCGACGTCATGAGTCGAGAACCCTGGCTTGCCAGCGTCATCCTTTTTCTTGTAAGACGGCAAGGGCAAAGGTTTTGTGTCACCAAGCGCATGAACCAGCGTTGATTGCTTTTCTTTTCAGCACTGATAGATATCCTTGGAGTATCTCATCGAAATGGAGTGAGTGCTGTGTTAAAACGTGATAGTTTAGCAGTTATAACGCAGGGTCCTCCCAAGTCCTATCTCAGGTTGGGAATGGACCCTCCTGTTTGTAACTAGTCTAGGCCAAAAGTTGAAAAACCTACAACATTTCCAAGTCTGTTGTCAAAAGGCATCTATTTGATGTATTCGGTACCTGCCAGAGACTCTAGCCCAAGTAACTCTCCACTTGTTTTTTACCCATCTCGTACTCAATTATACGGTACGGTAACTACCCCCGTCGTTCTTGTTCAAGTTTTGTATGTACAGTACTAAAGTACTTCCCATATTCTGTCTGTCTGTCTGTCTGTATCGTCACGAGAAACCGTGACGCCTTAGATTTTTCTTATTCTTCCACCTCTTTCCACCCTTCTCCTATTTTACCCTTCGAAAAAAAGGCATTTACAGATAATATCATCTGTGGCTAAAGTTTGCCTCTCATTCTGGAGTTCGCGTATCTTTTTTCGCGCTTCTTAAACTACACGCCCCTCTACCTCTGCCTACTCCATCCGCGTGTGCATCTCACATCCTCTTACTCTGCGACCCTACAAAAGCTGTCCCGGATTGGTAAGTTGTCTTGGTTGTATGACGATCTCTATCTATCCTTGCTGCACCTCATATTCTTCAGCACGCCTCGCCCTATCCTACTCTGTTCTTTCCTTCTTCTTCTCATTCCTACTGGACTGGACTATTTGAAAGAGAAAACGCCGTCCTCTTTTTCATTCTTCCACCCCTCGGTCGGTCATTATTGCCCGTCCTCCTCTGGTATATATTTCGACTTTGGATCCGTCGGAGCTCCAGTCCGTCTCCCCTGAACCCTGGTAAAACAAGTGTATTCAACTTCGGCAGCCGTTTAATCGGATTCCCATCATATTAAAACCTATGACATCTTGAAACTACTTCATCATAACTTCCCCCACCAATTTCGTACCCTACTTCATCTTAACTTTATATACCACATCAACATCCGTCCTTCCACTATATCTTTCGATCTCATTCTACGAAAAATGCTTCATCTCGTACAGACGTTACGAATTTTATAATCTCACAGTTCTGCAGAATCCATGTATATCTTGAATCCGGCTTGTCCTCGCCATCTGGACACTTTCGCATCCACCTTCATGCACTCGACACGATTTCAACGTTTACGCCAAGAAGACTGCAACTCTCGTCTTCAACAACAACAAAACCAACCAACACGATCATATAGCAGCTCATAAATTTGGAAAAGAGATCGCATAGAGTTTAGGATATCGACTTTTTTGTTTCATTTCTGCAGCAAAGTAACACACAGTATTGTATTGCTTTGCGTTTTCTTTAAAAATTGCGACAACATACGGGATCGCACCTTATTAGAGAGTCTCGACGACCGCTACGACAGAAGAAGAGCGACAAATTCGAAAACACGATATTATACCCCCGTCTTCTTTTTCATTCTTCTTCGATTAACGACACACGCCCAATCTATAGACGTTCATGTCCTCAAACAGTACGTCGCAACATTCTGCGACCGATTCTGTCTCTGGTCCCGGCCTTCAAGGGCCGCGAACCTCCGACCCGTCCGCCGATTCTGACAGCGGAAACCCGGGCTCCGACCGGCAGCCACAACAAGTAACACAGTCGCAATCCCCTGCCTCAGGTTCACGCCATCGTGATGTTGCACCCCGAGATTTTGTCCGCCTCTTCCAATGTCAAATTTGTTCGTTGCCCCTCAACGAGCCCATCAGTCTCCCATGCGGCAGAAGCATGTGCAGGCGCTGTTTACCAGACACTCATCTACGCGCCAATATAACATACCCCGCTGCTCGTGATCGACTTCGCGGATTCCGATGTCCATTCAACGACTGTGGAAAAGATCATGCTCTTGACGATTGCGCTGTCGATGTGGTCCTCAACAAAACTGCCCAGCATGTGAGGGAAGAAATCGAGCGTTCCAAGCGCGAGTCATCGACTACGGAGGTGTCGACAAGAATCATGTGGCAGGATCCATGGGCTGCTGCGGGTATTGGCTCCTTGCGGAATGATGATGGCGAGTACTCGAAGGTCATACCGGGTGGAAAGGTCATAGCCACATTTCGTTTGGCAGAAGAGGGCGATTTGTCTTACGAGGCTGACATTGATTATGACGAGATCATTTCGGCCACCCCGTCACCACCTCTCGATACCGACGATACAGGTCTTGTTAGAAAAGCACAAGATGCCACTCGTGCTGAAATGGACTGTCAAGTCTGTTATGCACTTTTCTACGATCCTCTCACAACCACCTGTGGACATACTTTCTGCCGGTCCTGTTTACACCGTATCCTAGACCATTCGCGGTATTGTCCTATATGCCGTCGCCCACTGGCCATCAGCCCTTTACTTAATCAGACCATGTCGCCATCCAATCAGACTATCAAGCGAATTATCGAAACGTTCTGGTTGGAGGAAGTAAATGCGCGGAAAGAAGCATTGGACGCGGAACGTACTGCACAAATGCAAGATCACGATACCTCGCTCTTCATTTGCACCTTGTCGTTTCCTCATGTGCCGACGTTTCTGCACATCTTCGAGCCAAGGTACAGGCTCATGATTCGAAGAGCGATGGAAGAAGGACACCAGACGTTTGGCATGGTAATTCCAAAACGGCGGCAGTATCCTGGGGATACTGATTTCCACGAGCTGGGCACCTTGCTCAGGATTGTTAACATCCAATTTTATCCCGATGGTCGGAGTCTCATAGAGACCGTCGGTCTTTCACGCTTCCGCGTTCTCGAACACGGCTTCCTTGACGGATACATGGTCGGCAAAACTGAACGAGTCGATGATGTCAGCCTTGAGGATGAAGAAGCGGCTGAAGCAGCCGAAGCAAGCCCCATGGAGTCCGAGTCTGACCCAATGCTGGAGGGCGATAAAGAATCTGCAGAGCAAACATCACCATTGCCGCGTTCCAGTTCATCCAGTCCACATATGCCAACATCAGTGGCCGACATCGATACAATGTCAACACAAAGTCTAATGCATTTTGCTTCATCCTTTGTCACTCGGATGCGGGAGCAAAGCGTACCATGGTTGACGGAACGAATGTTGACCATATATGGTGAATGCCCAGAAGACCCTGCTATCTTCCCTTGGTGGTTTGCTAGCATGCTACCAGTCAAGGACATTGAGAAATATCGACTCCTAGGAACATCCAGTGTACGTGAGCGTCTCAAAATCTGCTGTACATGGATTGTGGAATGGCAGATGGCCCGATGGTGAGTAAAATCTGTTGACACAGTTCACTTTTCCTTTATATCTTTACCCTTATACATTCCTTTCACATTACAACTCCTTCCAGTGAGCGTCTGCTCGTCGTCGTCCCCAGTCTCCCAGGCTAAAACGACGTCTCCCTTTCCAGGACAAAGCTGATTGATGGCCGTCCAGGTCTTACCACGGCTGCACGATCTTCTGATTGACAATCATTGCCCTCCTATCTCGCTCTCGGCATGGTTCTGCAATTCGTGCTCTTGCTTTTCTGCTTCATTGCACAGTCGCTGTACGAGAAACAAAGCGGTCTACGGAGTTGATGTCATTCCACTTCTGACACAGACAGGACCATCCCGACGCGAAGATAGTTAGGGCTGTTGAATTTGCGTCATGGGATCGCCACGCATATTATTTGAGAAGCGTTCGCGACGTCTTATATGTTGGAGCATTAGGAAGGAGAAGAAGAAGAGAGAACCGATTGCGGATAACAAAATGAGTCAATTATCTGGCCTGTCAAGATTTAGAATTTTGTGCTTATTTGTTTTCACGCCCAGGATTTAGTCAATGGTCAAACTTTCTGATAGCTCTCAAGATGTGTGGATGGATAGGAGGCATTCAGTAATAGTATCATTAATTTTACGAATACCATATTCCTTCAGGAATTCTGTAGATATTTTCTATCGTGCAATTGTTCTTTACCAATTCTCAGCCGCCCCATGCGTATCTTGTGCTGCAGTGGTATCGCCCCAATCAGGCCCAGCGGTGATAGCTGGTGTTTCTACCCAAGTACCTGGCATGACGTTGTCTGCTCCTCTGTCTCCTCCTGTAGAAACAGGCGGGTTGTTCTCGTTCCCATTCCCACTCCCATTTCCGTTTCCGTTCCCGTCATCAGCCCCCCAAACACCAACGTTGTTGTCTGCACCTTGTCCAACACTGCTCACACCATCCTTTGGCTGGTCCCAGTCGCCGCTAGCACCTGGGAAAGTATCGTTGCCCCAATGGTCTCCAGCCTTGCGAACAGTCTCATTGCTCTTGTTCGAGCCAGTAGCCCACCCTCCATTCTGAGTCGTCTCTTGAGTGCCGTCGTTGTTCCAGTCAGTGGATGCTTGGTTGCCGTTGGTTTCCCAAGCACTGTTCTGGTTGTCACCAGTACCGCTACCGCTTTTATCATTACCGTTATTGCTGTTGTTGTTATCTTGGCCGGCAGCATCCCAGCTGCTCTGGCCATTTTGAGTGTCATTGGCTCCATCGTTCCAATTGTTTCCTTGATCGTTATTGTTGCTACCACCCCAGTTGTTCGACCCAGCTCTGACTGAGCCAGCTGGCTGGCTATGTTCTTTGGAGGCAGTTCGAGGTCCTTGGCTGCCCCATGCGCTGAGCTGGGATTTGTTTCTCTTGGGGAGATATGGGTTGTCCTTTCCCTGGTTTATGTGTTAAGTCCAGTTCTGGTGCTGTTTGTCACTACTGTTACTACTTACTGTGAGGCTTGGTGGCCCAACATTGTTGTCCTTGCTGGCTTTGTCCTTGCTAGTGGCTGGAGCAGTCTTTTCTTGGTAGCCGGCTGAGGCTAGAGGAGGTCCAGGAGGTCCTGCCATACCATACCAGGGAGGATGGGGCATTGTTTGTGTGATTGGAACATGAGAATATGCTTCTGGGGGTGGAATGCCTGCGTAGTTTTGATGATATGGCGACATCTGTGGGAAGTTGGGGTTATTGAAGCCATAGTAGTAGGGATTCTGCATAGGGTGAGGCGTCCCCATAGGCAAGGAACGATTGCAGCCGTTGCGCTCAGGGTAGAGGGCGTTACTATGATGGTTGCCATAGACAGGACCATGGTAGACTCGCATGACATTGTGTTCTGAATCGTAGTAAGCATTTGGTGCCGGGTCTTCAGGGGTCTCGATCACGCGTTCCGTCTGAACCACTTGCGCCCTAATCGGTTCGATCAGTTGTGGGCGACGCATGTGAGGGCCTGGAAGTCCTTCGGGATAATTGCCCTTCTTGACTCCATCCCTGTATTTGGGTTGTCCCCTTTCTTTGAATTTCATGTTTCTAAACTTGCCTTGGTCTTGTTCCTTGGCTGCTTCAGCAGTCTGTTCTTCAGCTTCTGGCTCATTGGGAGTTTCTGTGTCTTTATTCGTCTCTTTTCCGGGCTTTTGCTTCTTCTTGTTCTTTTTCGACTGACTGTTTGCCTGCTTTGGTTGCTTGTCATTCTGTTTCTTTTTGTTCTTCTGTTTGCCTTTGTTTTGTTGTTTGGGTTTCTGCTCGGGCTCAGCCTCGTTTTCTGTTTCTTTGGCTGACTCGGAAGTATCGCCGTCAGTCTCGTCAGATTCCGGTTCAGGTTCCAGCTTTTTGTCCTTTTTACCACTCTTTCTGGCGTTTGCCTTTTGCTGTTGTTTCTTGTTCTTCTTGTGGATATCTGGTTCGGATTCTGATGTTTCATGTTCAGAGGCTGGCTCTTGATTCTTCCTGCCTTTTCGTTTGCCCTGCTTTTGTTTCATGTTTGGATGCTGCTGTTTTTTATGTGTTGGGGTCTCAGGCTCTGACTCAGAAGTGTCTTTGGCAGAATCAGAGGCATCTGAGTCTGGCTCCGGTTCCTTTACCTTCTTTGCGCCTTTCTTCTTCTTTCGGGCTTTCTGTTTATGCTTGGGGGGTTCTTCTTCTTCCGATTCAGATGTTTCGGGGCTAGGTGAGGGGGTGTACTCCTTGCTCTTTTTCTTGCCTATCCTCCTCAATATCTCTCGACCCTTGACGCATCTGTGGCACTTACAAGTCGGGTCTGGATCTGAGTCCCAGTCGCTATTAGAGTCAGCCTCGATTTGTTTCTGTCTCTGCCTGCGCCTCCGTCTCTGTCTTCTTCTCTTTTCCCTCTGTTTGAAAGAGTTGTCTGAACTCTCAGTGTCAGAATCGGTTGCATCAGAACTCGAAATAGTTTCTGACTGACTGGAGTCTGACTCGGTCTCAGATTCAGACTCTGTACCGGACTCGGATGTTTCATCAGAGGACTCAACTGGGGTTGTGATGACTGTTTGCTTCAAAGCAGACTTGATGGGGCCATCCTCGAAGCGGACTTTCTTGATCACAGTCTTGGCTTCGGTAATGATAGGGGTAGACTCGGGTTCAGGTTCAGATTCAGCTTCAGCTTCAGCTTCGGGCTCAGGGTCAGGGGGGGAGGGAGGTGTGGTGCGTCCTGTACGGGGGTAGGTGATTCTAACGGTGTCTTCCTCGGATTCATCATCAGTAGTAACTTGAACGCGTACTACTTCTCGTTTCCTGTTCTTGGGGGGATTGGGCTTGGGCTTGGGGGCGGCAATGGGACGAAGGGCAGATTCGATTGTTGTGCCAACTACCCATTCGCAAAAGTGCGCTGGGCCTTTGAGCTTGCGATTTGTCATTGTGATTCCAGGAGATTCGTCACCGAGAACGACTTATCATTGCGAGGGAAAGTACCAAGATGTGATGTTTCTTTGAGGGTCAAAAATGAGGCAGAAGTTGGTGTCACCAGTTGAGTTTTATGCAGGGTGTAAAGTGGTTGTTGGGGTTAACAGGTGTAAAGGCGTGGTGGTGGTTTGACGCTGGCAGTTGCTGGCAGTGTCCAGGCAGAAGTGAGAGCAATCTCCTTCCTTCCTCGCCCATGAGGCAGGTACAGGCAATCCAACCACTGACAACATAGAAGATAAAAAGATGTTAAACTACCATCGTTAGTCTCTAATTAATCCAAATTTTGGTTTATCTTTACATTTTTCACACATAGCTTAGGACCTTGTCTACTCGTCTACCTGCACAAGTAACTCGAGTTCGTTTGTGCATCTTTCGTTTTCTTAAAAACGGGTGAGCCAGTGCAGGTGGGTTTGGCACAGCCAGGCAACGCCAGTGCGATTACAAACATGTTCACCGCCGAGTGTTCTGCGGAAAGGAATAGCTAATGGACAGTAATATGGGATTGAAATAGCAGCAACAAACACAGATGGCAGCTGACAATAAGAAGTCTGTATCCATCTGCTTTCCTTTCACGCAAACTGCATGTGGATAGAGATAGGCCTTGTCACGTCATCAGAATGTTGTTTTAGTTTACATCAGACGAAATTATTAGGCCAGGTTATGCTGCTTAGACTATACGTTTTAGGTTATTTATTTTTGTATCCTAAAGCTAAAAGATCAATCTTCTGTTATCCATCTGATTTCTTTTAAGCCATAGAAGGTGATTCGAATTGGTCAACTAACAGCCGTACCAGCGCGAAGAACGACGGCTTATGAGGCATCAAACACTGCCCAGAATATCGTGAACAGAGGGTACTCTCATCGAATTCAACGCTTCTATACTCTCCCTTCTATATATCAATTAGGCATTCCTCGTCAGTCTTCTAGATCTTAGGAGTAACAACCAAGTATCCTTCAACAACCGCCGTAATCAATCTGTTGGCAATGGCTTGGGAGGGGGGTAGTCGCAGGTCACCCTCTTTGTATCCTTCAGGGGCAGACGCTCCGAGGGGGCTTGTTCCGGTTTCGAGAGCCTTGCGAGCCTCATCTAATGTGAACCACTTCGCCACTTCCAACTCCTTGTCATTCAGTGTGATCTTCTCGCCATCGCCAGGGAGCGCCTGAGCAATAGCACCAATCATGAGACTAGCAGGGTATGGCCATGGCTGACTCGAGTGGATGACGACTCTACCGACACGGACACCACTTTCCTCCCAGACCTCACGCCTAACAGATTCCTCAATCGACTCACCAGGCTCAAGAAAGCCGGCAAGCGTGCTGTACCAGTAAGGAGGCCAACGCTTCTGGCGGCCAAGGAGAATCTTTGTACCATCTGCGGAAACAACGGCCGCAATCATAGTGGGGTCCGTTCTAGGGAAGCAAATGTTCGACACGCCATGTCGAGTAGCACAATCTCCTCGAGTCTCGCCGTTCTCGCCACCCTTTTTGTCGGCAGGAGGGCAGACACGCTTGTAGCCCGCGTGGACAGAAAGGTTGGGCTGTCCGCAGCCAGCGCAGAAAGGGCTTCGTGAGTTCCAATCAATCATGGATCTAGCTTGAGCGTACAAGGCGGCTGAAGACGTTAGTTTCAACGGTCAAGTTCGTTTAAAGTTTAACCTTACCTGCTTCAGGAGATTGGTTCATGGCACGAGCGTTCGTATCTAAGGAGAGTTCTTTCTTCTCCTGTTCCGCCAAGAAGCTCGCGGCTTTTTCGACATGGTTGCCCTTGGGGGTGATATCGACAGCGAAATAGGGATGGCCTTGAATATCTCCGTGATCGGTAGAAGAAATGTGGTCGTTCTCGTTTCCATCCTCTAGCATGCCGAGGAAGACGATGAGGGGGGTCGTCTTGGTTGAGTCGAAGTTTTGGATGGCTTCGTCCTCGGTTTGCGCAAAGGGTTCTGATCCAATCAAAGGCTGAACGTCGTTGAAAGTGAGGTAGGCCGGCGTTCTCTTGTCGACAACCAGAGGGTTCAACTCGCTGAGAGCCAGATATCGGGCTGTGGGACTGACAGCAGCCTTGCGAAGAAATCCAGTATCGGCACGGAGGAAAGAGAACCGGTTGACACGGCTGCCGGCATAATAGTTGACGACTTCTTTACCGAAACGACGGGTCAACATGGAATCGTCGTTTTCGAGAGCTGCAACTCTCGGTAGGTTGGGTACTGCGGTGGCTGATGACATTGCGATGGTTTGCGCAAAGGCGCTTGAGTTGGGTATCTGTATTTGTAATAGATCTGAAAGGAACGGTTCTCTGTGAATAGAAGAACGACAAACACTTGATTGTCAATGTGAAGGCGATATTATGTAGATATCTCTGCTGTTTTGGCAATATGGCTTCCGTCTTTGATGACCTGAAAACTGCTATCGGGTGTGAAAGAGGCGAGTTCTTCTTATAAGCAACCCCGTGGTAGATCGGATTTAAGTCCGAGGTACAGTTAGTGACCCGTTATTTTCCTCTGGGGGCCAGCGGTGAGAAGTTGCCGGCAATTCAAGGTGAGGGTTGAGTGACAATATTGCGGCGACTGCGGCCCATTTACCTGCAGTGCGATATGGAGTCTTCGATGACTCAGAATTATCTATGATTGGTTTCTGTCTGGACGATGTTAATAGATCCATTTTTGTCGTTTTTTATGGTGTTTGTCATCCAAATCGTGACCATGACCTCATTGACGAATAGTTAATCAGATAAACGAAACATCATGATCGTAGTCTTGCATTCAACATGGCCCCTTGATCCATCCAGACATTCCAATTGGTTATCTTTTGTACAAAACTTTCCATTTCTATTGGCATTAGCATCGGTATTGGCGATTCCAGATCAGATCTGGATCTTCAACTTAACCTTTTCTCCCCTCAAGGGCGCTGCCGAATTCGGACCCTGGCACTGTTCTCAGCCAAGCTCAGGGACATTTCTAGCGCATATTTCCCCGCAATCCATACCTATTCCTCTCATTAATATAGTGACGTCTTTGTCTGGGGCACGGGACCATTCCTGGCAATCCAATCTTTGGCCAAAAAAAGTCTGTCATCCCGCAACCCTGTTCGACTCACTCCGTCTTGTCTTGTCTCTCTCCCTTTACGTTGCGTCCTGCTTCGCGTTGCCTACAACACATATTGTTAGACCAATTATTTCCCTTTGGCATTGACGAATGCTGTAATATCGCGACTCGGTTGTCTCTTTTGACCTACCAGGACGGTTACTGCTACGAGCTGGGGGTGGACACGTCCAGGGTTCATCATGACTCCGCCAACTGCGAATCTGAATCTCGATGTTGAGGCTATCTCGGGCATTTGCGGGTATGTTTCTGATTGTTGTGTCTCTCAATGGTGTCGGTTGTTAATCATTCGTGTTTTAAAGCTCAATCTCAATTGCCTGCTGGGGTATGTCGCCATGACTTGTTCGTCTCCTTGACCATCACTGATCGCAAATAGTCGTCGTCTTCTCTCCCCAAATCATCCAGAACTTCCAGCGCGGCAGTGCCGACGCTCTCTCGATCCAATTCATTATTGTATGGCTTCTTGGCGATGTTTTCAACATTCTGGGTGCCGTCCTTCAGGGCGTCCTGCCTACCATGGTATGATAAACGCCTAGCTTCCGATTGACCAGTCGAAATGAAGAATACTAACTCAATTCGCTTTCTAGATCATTCTCGCCATCTACTACACGATCGCTGATATCGTCCTCCTCTGCCAGTGCTTCTACTATCGCGGCTTTACTTGGCGCGACGCCCCAACCCCTGCGCCGAAGCCGACCACCCCGGCCCCTGGTGAACCCAACGAGCGCACTGGACTAATCGCTCACGATGACCGTCGCGGCTCAGACTGGTCTGGTCTGTCGCCTGCCGTCCCTCATATCGCCGAAGATGCTGCTCCTCGAACCCCGACCGTCCTTCAAACCATTGTATGGAACACCATCATTGTGCTGATGGTCATCGCCGCTGGTGTCGTCGGCTGGTTCTTGGGCCAGAAAGCCTCTCACGGCGAAGATGACGGCGATTCCAATGTTGGAGGCGAGGACAGCCTCCACTTTAGCCTTTCCGGCCAGATCTTTGGATATCTTTGCACCGTCGCATACATTGCTTCTCGGCTGCCCCAACTCATCCTGAATTGGAGACGCAAGACGACAGATGGGCTTAGCATGCTCTTCTTCCTCTTTGCTTGTCTCGGAAACATCACCTACGTCCTGTCCATCTTTGCCTACGATCCCAAGTGCAAGCACGACGAATGCAAGCCTGGCGAGGCTCGTCACATTTATGGCAAGTACATTCTGGTTAACCTGAGCTGGCTCGCGGGCAGTCTCGTCACCCTTTTTCTTGATCTGGGTGTTTTTGCCCAGTACTTCATGTACAGCAAGCCCGAGACTGTCGCAACTCCTACTCGCCGACGAATCAGCGACAACGTTGTCGAGGAGGACGAGTACGACAATGAGAGTGGTGATGAAGACAGCTGGGATCAGCGTCCTCTACTCCAGAGGGGCGATTCTGTTTACCACCCATGATCTATCTTCTATCTCTAATAAGGCTCGCGCTTGAGATAGCAGTTTTTTGTTTTACTTTTGATTTAGACTTTCATTTGCTCACATATCTCCCCTGACTGGTTAGGGCGTATATAGGATCGAACGATGGCAGGCGTTTGCTGTTGCATGATACGGAAAAGGAAAAGAAAAAAGAAGGGCAGCATATGCACCGGGTCGCTATTGTTACGGAGTTGGGAATGTATTATACTCGAATATTAGATCAACTCACTTCAGTGGGGTGAGGCTTGTCCATAACATAAAACAAACAGCCTTTGGGCAATTTTTTTTCTTAAATTAGACATTCCTTACAAGTCAGAGATAAAGATGAGTGTGTGCAGCACATCTTCATATGTGTCGGTAATATAACAAGACTTTTGTGGGTTAATGGTGTCTATCTTGCTTGCTTAAATACTGCGAGGGATCAAGTCATTCTTTGTATCTCCAGCAAAGGTTTTATCTCGTCTCTTTTTCCAAGAGCCAGCTGACATGTCACACATTCACAGGAATTAAAATACTGATTGTCAACAGTATTCAAAAAAGGCCAATTGTTCTAGGCACTTCGAGATTCAGATAACAAATTACTTAACATATATGAACTCGCTACTTGTTTTTACTGTCTGTATCGTGAACTCGATAAAGGCTTCAACTACCCTTGAGCACATCTCTGAACAACGATCTAGAACATGTTCCAATCGTCTTGCCTCGGTACATTCGAACGCTACACAGGTAGTCTTTCTGCTTGCCCTTTCTTGCAAGTAGAAGCCCCAGCATGGTGATCGCCACAGAAAATAACCGAACAAAGAGCCTAGCTAAACGTAGAACAGCTGACGATATAATTTTGTCGCTGTGATAGGTTGAACAAGTTTTCTACTACTCCGAGAATTAGCTAGACTAAGCCCATATGAGAGACCAACCCGATGCGTTAGGCTAGGTATCTCGGCGCAATTGGGCATAAGAATCCACAGAGAAATGGGACAAAGGAAATTGAACCCCAATATGCAGCGCCGAGAACCAAACGCTGCCAACTCGGCCCACTGAGAAGTTGAATTGGAGGTTTTCACAGGCCAATATATTATGTAATACAGCGAAAAGAGCCCCACAGCGCAGGGCAACCAGCCTCCCTGACCTATCGAGACTAGCGTGGTTTTTGGCAGAATTTTGAATATAAAAATCCTCTCTTCCGCCGACCTTTACTTGTTTTCTTTCTTGTTCTTTACATCAGTAGAGTACAACTTCACCGTCATGTGAATTTATACTTTAATGGCGGCTCCGCTATGCGGCTTGCTGAGAGTCAGACTTGTCGATGTCTGGTTTTCCGTTCCCGGCCTCCTAAAGTAATGTGATCGCTCTTCCTAAACAGCCGCAGACGTCCTCAGAGGTCTGTGACTGTGGGGTGATCTCGACATTTCATTATCTTAAACGTGTTATTTCCTCAAGGAATCAGCACCGTAAATCTTCGTCGCGTCGTGTTGACCAGTTACCACCTACTGTGAAACCACGCTTTGACTATCATGTGCCTGAAGAACATCTTGCTGTGAGGCTCTGCTTTTTGCAAGCCGCCTCTGGTTGAGTTGATTTGTCTGATCGATCACTGTTCCTACCAGGCTTGAGTACCTCGATGCTTCATAACGAGTCATGATTAAAATCCCATGGTCCTTCGGGCATCGCTACGCCGAGGTGCTCGACTCGTACGAGAATGAAAAAAATTCTCCAATAGAAACTTTTCAGGTGGTGGCCGATAAAGTTGTCTAATCTGCACTACGATTCAGTAGCACACCTCAAAATGAAGGATGCAATGCTACCTCCATGACACCTATCGAGCCAAGCACTAGAACGCCTGAGTATGATGTCGTCTTGTGCGCAAGAACCCTGGGCCGATTCTGCGCAAGTATCTGCTAGGTGGATGTTTTATCGCGGGGTTCAAGTTTCATTCTACAGCGTCATGTTGTCGAAAGTAGTCAATCATAAATCTCATGATAAGACTACATCTAGATCGTCATCAATATATACATACTATCTACCCATATACTTTAACATCCTGCGCATCTCGCTGTAGTCATTGATTCTCATCATCGGGTGAAAGGCCGCGATACCACGTGACAGAACTTGGAGGAATCTTGGTTATGGATGAGTGGGGACCAAAAAAATCTAAACCCGGAGGAAGCCTTCAGATTGCCCGAGATTCGGACAAGACTTGTTGCTTGCGACTTTGACAACGCCTAATTAATTCTATCTACCCGAATCCGCATCCTCACATCCTCGGTCATACTTAATTAAATCAGTTACAATGGGCTCTATCTGGAACGCTTTCACTGGCGGCAACAAGTCCGGCCACCAGCAGCAACAGCAGCAGTCGCAGTCATACCAGCCCACAACACAAGAACCCGCGCACTACTCCTCCTACGACCCCACGGAAGGCCAGGGCGTCGAGTCCTTCCTCCAGAGCTCTACCTTTGCCGACCCCTCGCAATTACATCCTCTCGCCGGCCTCAACAGAGATACGCTCGAATATATTTCCCTCGAGGACTCAGCCTTGTCCGAGTTGCCTGGTGGCCAATCAGTCCTGCCCTCTCGTGGCTTCACAGATGACTTGTGTTACGGTGCCGGAGTCACATACCTGGGTGGCCTGGGAGTTGGAGGTGCTTGGGGTCTGCAGGAGGGTCTCAGAAGGTCGGCCGGCCAGCCTCCCAAGCTGCGATTGAACGCTGTCCTCAACTCGGTCACCCGACGAGGACCTTTCCTCGGCAATTCGCTGGGTGTCGTTGCTATAATTTACAACTGCACAAACTCCTTGATTGGAACCCTTCGTGGAAAGCATGATGCTGCAAACACTGTTCTCGCTGGTGCGCTGAGTGGTATGCTCTTTAAGAGTACCCGCGGTCTTCGTCCCATGGCTATCTCTGGTGGTATTGTTGCCTCTGTAGCTGGTGCCTGGGCTGTAAGTTTCACTTTGGCGACTGCCACATGTTCTTCGTACTAACATGCACCTAGATTGTGCGACGATCTTTCTTCCCTATCCCCGAGCCCGTCACTCCAGTTTCTGATGAGCTCACTCTGTAATAACCTTATGATACTTCTATTCACCGTTGTCGTCAAATTGGTCGACCCGTTATAATTGCGCCTTTGTGGAAATCAAGGCACCAACGAAGAAAAGAAAAATGAACAAAGAGAGACAAGCCGAAAGAAGGACGAGGCACGGGATGGAATTCCTGTTGTATAAGAAATGGTGTGACTAAAAGCGTTCGACGGAGTTTGGTAGCATGGCAACGGAAATCTCTCCTCCCATGGGCAAATGTACACTATATCAGGTTCGGTCAGCGAGCATTAGACGAATGTGATAGGGGATGGGCGTCTGGTCATTTAATGATACAAATGTTTGAATAGTAGCCAGTGGAATTCTAGACTATGGCAGCGGTTTTTTCTGTTGATATCCGGCTCGTATTGCGACTTTTGGAGGTTGGCACTGGCGATGCAGTTGCCTTGAGCGACCACAGCGCCTGCCCACTTCATTCACCAGATCTGTGTTTACTGCAGTACACAAACATTATACCTACCTAACCGCTGCCTACCTCGACTTTTTTCACTCGCATTACACGAATAATTCATTTCTCTATGGGTTGAACTCTTCACCTACAACCCAACGACATGAACAAAGGCGACAATACTGGTCGTGGGCTGTTTCCGCTCTCCCAGCTTTCTGAAGAGCAGCCACCTGTCGCTCAAGACGTTAAGAGTGCCCATCTACCAGATACCTCTCCCCTTAGTGCCAGGGACAGTATTCAAGACAACGGAACAGTACCTACTCCCGAGAAACTACCCGATCAACGCACGCAATTGCGTGCCAGGCCAAACCTTCTTAATGTGAGCCTTAAAGACTTCAAAGAGCTCATGATTCGAGCCCGCCTCGATGACTGGAAATTAAGAGCTCAGGTTGTGCACACTCCTGGCCAAGTCGACATAACGGCCCTTTGGAGTCCACAAATCGCTGGCATCAAATCGGCTCGGCATGGAATGATATCATTTGACGGCTTTGACCGCACTTGGTTTGTTCCGTTCGACTCAGAAATGCCTTTACCTGCAGGCAAGCAAAGTATTGCAGACGACATCGAAAATCGTCGCACAGAGCTTAGCAGGGCGCACTTTCTAAGGAAGGGCCTAGAGGAAGGGTTTCACGATAAATTAAAACGTCTCTTTGAAGATGAGGTCAAGGAGACGTGCCAAAGTCACTGGGACCGAAATTTCGGATCATACATGGCACCCATGCAGTGGGACGAGGTACGGCAGAAGTACGAGCTGATAGATTTGGTCACCATGATAGCTGAAGCTCGATTGAAAGATGGAATAGAGCCACTGCCCGGCTACTATGAAGCCATGATCCTTGAGTTAGGGATCGACGGCAAGATAACCTTCCAGCGCAAGAGTGTGCCGTCCGATATTGACATGAGGGGACTAATCTCGCGCCTTGAAAGCTGGTATCCCCGGAATGACGAGCATAGCACCAACATCATCAAGTACTTCCGTCATAAACTTGACTACGTCTCGGACTACGGTGATGAAACTCAGAAGCGGAAATGTCAACTAATGCTCCGACAGTTGAGTCGTTTCGTCGACACAGGGAAGCCAGAATGCGAGCTGTCTCAGTGGGTGTTCAAGCTATGGTGCAAGCCTGACTACAGTGTACCCGCTGGGAAATCACCAGACAAGGTTGGCACATGGACAAGGCTGAAGGAAAACAAATATCAAGACCTCCTTGCTGGAGTCATCAACAAATACCCGGTTTTCGTTCGAGTGAGTCCAGCCGCTCAGCCTCTGTCTGGCTTCTTACTGACACTGTACCACTAAGCCCTAGAAGATTCGAGTTCGACGATGGTGGTCTGAGTTGAGAGAGCTTGAGAAACAAATTGAAACGAGTCGAGACGAAACTGAATTTTCAGCAGAGCAACTGGCTATGTTGGACAAACTGCTCGCACGCCGCATTGAGGAGCAAGATGCGAAGTCTAAAGAGGCTCTGAGCATGACGAACATGGTAATGATACGAAGCGAGCTACCAAGTGTTACGTTGTCAACATTTTGAAGACGGAACGGGATGGCAGGAGTGATGACTGTATGGCATGAATGATGGAAAAGAGTTGATGTTGATGTCTGAGAATGCACCTATTGGAGTTTAGGTCGACGTGCAGCATGCACACTCAGCATCAAGGACTGTTCTGGGTTACTAATACTACTGAACCTGCACTTTGCTTGTATTTGTGCTATCAATTTATTTAATGCTGTAAAGAGGTTAATGACACTCGATGAATGGATGAGTTCAAATCTTGATTTTCATCTAGTGACAGCAGATCATAGGCAGTCGAGAAAAACAGCAGAAAGAATATCATTATGATGATGATTATAGTATGCTGTAAAATGACTGGTGTTGCTCGAGCGTCCATAACAAGTGTTCAAAACCAACACCTTGTCGCAGTGACGAGGGAGTGCCAAAGTGGGACGAGATTTATGCCTATCATCTTCGCACTCAACTTCAACATCCAACAAACGCAACAACACCATTTGAAAACAACCTCCAATCAACCTTCTGAGCTTCACAATATTCGCTCGGAAATGTGTCTCCCGTGCTTCCCCTGGACGTGGACCAAGTATGAAGACCCGTACGACGACTTGCACAAGGCCCCTGAGCAGTCCGTCTGGGTACATGATGGACAGGGATGGGAGTTACAGAAATTGGTAAGATATAGTGTTTCTTTTTCTCAATTCATCTCGTCTCAGTTACTTGTTTCTTGGGGTCTCTTTCATTCGCAGCCAATCCTGTTATTGCATATCAGGGACTGTCTGCCAGTGACAGCCACGTGGAGAGCGAAAATTGAATCGCATCAAAGGCGTTCAACTAGCATGTTTGAGGTGTAAACACTGAAAACTCGTTCTGTCTGTGTTATTTCTTCGATCAGCGTTTGCGAGATCTTGTGCAGATTGAAGGCGGTATCTCGAAAAGCCTCTCTATTATTTCGAGTCTCTTCCTCTTTTTCCTTTCTTCTTCTTCAGAGAAAAACAGGCATCTCGGGCCTTGAGGTTCTTGAATCACAGGCCTCTTGAGAAAGAGTTCTTGGCTTTGATTGTCAGAATTACACTCTTCAAAGAAGAAGCAGCAATCATGGCTTCGGCAGGCGCGAACCCGCTCAAGTCTCCAAAGACGCCTCGACGACCCAAGACGCCTGAGTCTCGTCAAGTGCACTTTGAACCCGAGACTAAGCCAGCGACTACTTCTACGTTCTCCAGAGACTTTAATTCTGGGCGCATCTCTGGATATACCACTGCCAATTCCCCCAGCGGTGGCTTCAGTGCTGGCGTCAACGGTGTCAGTGCCCCAAAGGCGCCTCCTGCAATCAAAACTACTGTCAGTTCTACGGCCACTGCCTCTACTTCTGCTCCCGAGCAAAAGATAGAGACACAGCCTACAAACTTCCCCGCTCTTGGTTTAGGTGCCAACCAGCTGCAGTGGCATATCAGTGCCAATCCGACTCAGAGCCTCAGTCAACAGCAGCCGGCCACTTTCATGTCGCCCCCGCCTCAGGGTCAACAGCAGCATTTTTTCTCTCCACCTCAATTTTATCCTGCTTCCTACATCAGCGCAGGACCAAACAACATCATCACTTCTCCGACCCCGAATCCTATCACGTATATCGGTATCGGCCCTCAGTCCCCCGCCGTCAATCTCAGCCAAGCCAGCAACATGGGTGACTATCAGAACGCTGCCCCTCCCGTTCACGGGCTGCACTTCCAGCCTCCCGTTCCCGACACCACCTTTGGTCCTATGCAGCACGTCTACGTGCCTCGCCATGACGGTGGCCTTGCCGGTCTTCAAGTCGGTGCCCCTGCTTCTTTTAACTATGTTTCTGCTGCCCCTTTTGCTATTACCCCCTCCTCTTCCTACACCACCGTCGTAGTGCCAAAGACATACTATATCAATGGCTACACTTACTATGCAAGTCTACTTTGCTGGTTTACCTTCTTGTTCTGCCTTTTGCACGGGTTCGCCTGAATCAAGCGCTTCAGTGTTTCTCTCCTGCATCGTCAAGCGGCGTGCCGGGATTTTTCTCTCACTTCATCTTCCAAACTCTCATCGCTTTCACCAACATGTACTGACCAGTTCTACAGCAGCCAGCCTTCGGTACTGTGGCTCCCCAGCCTAGTGCCTATGGAGGCTACGTTGTCCAACAGCAGCAGCAGCCCTACTACGTCCAGCAGCCGGCCATGGGTCAACAGCCAGTTCTTGTCGCTGGCCAGATGCAGCAGCAACAGCCGCAGCAGTTTATGCCTCAGATTCAGAACGTTCAAGGCGTCCCCGCGGTCGGTCTGGCGGGTGGAACTGCTGTGCCCGGCACGGCCCCCGTCTTTGCAGGTAATGTCCCTGGTGGTGGTGGTGGTGGTCCTCAGCATATCCCTGAAGTCATGGGTGTTGGTCGTACCGCGGGCGAGGAGCAGTTCCGTCAGATCAAGTTTGCGCATGCGAACAAGCTGTACGAGCCTCAGGAGTTCAAGCCCGCTGATGATGACCCTTCCCGTTTCTATTATGTCCGTGAAGTTGACGGGAACTGGACTCAGCGCAACCGATTTACCATTGATCACATGGGCGATTCCAAGTGGTATGTGACCGACGAGGGATGGTTCTATGCCGTCCGACTTCCCAACTAGGCGAAGTGTCACGTAAGTATTTTGGCGTCGAGATCTATTACCATGCGCTGACCAGATTCTGCAGGCGAACCACAGTGCACGAAAAGCACAAGAGCAACAGAAGATAACAACACTGCATCACCAACCAGTACACATCCTTGATTTGTAAGAAGCCGCAAACTCAAATACACAGAACATCAATACTAACCTTGTAGTTGGTCCAATGTCGTTTTAAGCAAATGCTCGGCTTACCAAAACACCAATCAATGGTTAACGGTCAATGGCAAATCGGTCAAGGCGGCGAGGATGTGTCTATGGGGTTGGAAGGGGGGAAATACCTACTTGGAACAGCATATGGAGATTGCTTTGCATAATTCCTCTGCAAGGATTCTTTAATTGTGTTAATTGAATCAGTGAATTCATTCGTATGGACGGTATGAAACATGCCTTCACATGTCGTTGATTTCAAGATGTCGTTGGCTTGATATGGTTAAGAAGATATCCAGGTGGGGTTCGCCCGTTGTGTTTCCGTACATCCTCGGTAATTGCATCATCGGTCCAAGGTTATCATATCATTCCTTAACAACAACCACTTGCAAGGTCATTTTCCATTTCAATCCTAATAATCCAAAAGGCGCAACTTACTAAACCAATTAATTGGCCGCTGAAATTCCATTCCAAAGGCAAACTAAGGACTCGGGGCTGCAGTTTTTACAACTTCTACCCAGCGCATTCAGCAATCTACGCAAACATGCTTCTCATCGGTCTTACAGGCTCGATTGCCACAGGCAAATCGACAGTCTCTTCGATGCTGTCTTCACAACCATATAATCTGCCAATCATAGACGCAGACATTCTAGCCCGCAAGGTCGTGGAACCTGGAACCCGTGGGTATCAAGCCATCGTGAAGCACTTTGGACCAACAACACCAGAGCTACTTGTGGAGCCCTCAGACAAAATGCCAGAAAATGGGCCCGACGGCAAAGGCAGACCACTCAACAGGCCAGCTCTAGGACGAAGGGTATTTGGCGATAGCGAGGAAAGGAAGAAGGATCGTTCAGTGCTCAACCATATTGTGCACCCAGCTGTACGGTGGGAAATGTTCAAGTCTGTGGTAGGATACTACTTTCGCGGTCACTGGGCAGTAGTGCTCGATATTCCACTGCTCTTCGAAAGTGGTCTCGACAAACTCTGTGGTGTCGCAGCTGTTGTTGCCGTCCGCGACCCAGCAATCCAGATGCAGCGCCTGCGAGCGCGCGATCCTCATCTCAGCGCAGAAGATGCTGAGAACAGAGTGCGCAGCCAGACCGATGTGCGAGAGAAGGCTCAACGGTGCGAGGAGCGGGGGGAGGACAAGGGGATCGTGCTTTGGAACGATGGGTCTCGAGAGGACTTGCAGGCGCAACTGGACAAGGCGATCAAGGGGTTGAAGAAGGAGACTCCGGACTGGTGGACGTGGTTGTTGCTTGGATGCCCACCTCTGGCTGTTGCGGTTGCGACGTGGAGGTTTTGGCAGAATCTTATTATCAATGAGAGATGGGAGGAGAAGAAATTGCAGGCTAAATTGTAGGGTCCTTTATTGGCATCTAACAAAACCTCGAGTGCAGAAATATATATAATCAAAGAAATGCCTTGGTTTTGCTACGGTAATTGGAGAGGTGTGATAGATTTGATGTAATAAGCTCTCGATGTTGAGCGACCACAAGGAGTAAAGAGCATCATTGCAGGCACATAAGGGAGCCGCAAAACTGTTTCGTTTGGGAAGACTTCTTCCGGGATTGAGTTGGGAATCGGTGCTTTTACTATCAGGAGGCTGTTGAGAGTGTTGCAAAGTCAGGCGCTGCGACCTTTAACCATGAATATAGCTAGTCTGCAGTTAAAAAATAACCTAGAAGTCAGCCTAGGCAAGTATATAATGGCTACCTCGCTCGGCTTCATAGTAATGTCTTAGGCAATCAAATGTTTCACTTTGCTAGTGCTCAGATAAATTGTAGAAATTGCATATGCGTATTTTGTTTATGTGCAGGTTATGCTCAAGAACGCTAATCGCCTTGCTTTTGTTCGCTAGTAGAAAACTTGAAATATTACATCATATATACATTCCATCAGCTCGTGCGTTACACTGGGTATCCATAATCCTATCAACCATTATTCATCGCATGCGCTTAAAAGAAGCTGTGGAGCACTCGCTTAGGGGCGTCAGCCCAGACGAAAGGCTCCTTGGGCTCCTCCTCCTCGAGGAAGACTGCTCCAGTGCTGAGATCCATCTCAGAAGGTCGAACATACATCTGCCACTTGCGGGTGCAGACTTTGTAGCCGACGTAGAGAAGAGTGACGGAGAAGAAAGCCAAGTAAGAGCTGAAGAAGCCCTCGGCGGTAGGGGAGCCTCCAGAGGCAGGGAAAAGAGCAGTGTAGAAAGAGGCGATAAGAGCGAGAATGTTGAGTCCGAGTCCGAGGTAAGAACCAGCGACGCCGAAAGGGGTCTTGTAAGGGATGAGGCCGAGGTTGACACCCTGTGCCTTCATACCAGCGCGCATGCGGATGTGAGCAAGGCAGATAGAACCCCAGACGAAGAGGAAACCGAGACCAGTAAGGGCCAGGAGCCAGCCAAAGATCTCCATACCCTGAGGAGCGGCACCGATGTAGGCAAGGAGACCGAAGGCGATCTGGAGGGCAACACAGTAGAGAGGGCGACCCTTGGAGTCGATGTACTTGAAGAAGTTAGGGGCCATGTTGCGCTCAGCCATAGCCTGGATGGTTCGGGTGGAACCAAAAGTGCAGGAGTTGGCGACAGAGAGGACAGCAACGGTGATGACAGCGTTCATGATGCTAGGGAGGACCTTGATACCAGCATCCTGGATAGCAAGAACGAAGGGAGAAGCCTTGGTGTTGGCACCGCTGGCACCCATGAGACGCGGGTCGTTGGCGGGGAGGATGAGACCGACGATGAACAGGTTAAGGATGTAGAAAATGGCAATTCGCCAGAAGACCTGCTTGCTAGCCATGGGGATGGATCGGCGGGGGTCGGCAGACTCGGCGGCAGCAAGACCAACCATCTCAGTACCACCGAAAGAGAAAGCAGCGACGACAAAGACAGCGCAGAAACCCTTGAAGCTAGTGAAAGCACCAGGATCTTGCCAGTACTTGACACCGATGTAGCCCTGGTCACCAACACCACCACAGTTGATGACAATACCAAGGATGATGAAACCAACACAGGCGCAGATCTTGATGATGGAGAGAACAAACTCGACCTCACCATATCCTCTGACACCGAAGAACTGGACGCCAATGAGAGTGACAAGGAAGACAGAGACCCAGACAGCCATGTTGATATCTTCTCTCCAGAATCTAATGGTGATAGAGGCGGCGATCAGTTCGAAGGGGAGCACAGTCAACCAAGCCAAAGCGTATTGCCAACCCATGGCGAAACCCCAAGAAGGATCGACGAAGCGGCAGATGTAAGTGAAGAAGGCACCGTTGACGGGGTAGAGGACAGCCATCTCAGCTAGGGCCAAGCATGTGCAGAGAAGCATGATACCGATGATGAGATAACCGATGAGGAGAGCAGCGGGGCCACCCTTCTGAAGGGCACCACCTGAACCGACGAAGAGACCAGCACCGATAGCGCCACCTAGATACAAGTTAGCAATATGTTATAGGTATGAGGAGATGAAGTGAAGCCATACCGATGGCAATCATTTGCATGTGTCGGTTCTTGAGATCTCGCTGGAGACCACCGTTCTTGACCTCGCCGGTCTCGACATCGTGGTTCTCGGTGACATCGAGAACGGCCTCCTTGCCGTAGTCAGCTTGGGGAGGAGTAGAAGCCATGTCTACTATTCGTGAGTGGTAGTGAGTGAAAAGTAGTGTGGTGTAAGAGAGAGATGAGATGAGAGGAAGTTGAGAGTGATGAAAGCTCTTGGTTCTTCAATTTCAACAACGAGGGAGAATGCTTCGGTATTTGTACTCGATTTCCTGACAACTGCACAATATACCGACAACATGGATGGAGCTGTTGCAACGGTCTAGATTTGGTGGCGCTGGGGTCAGCACGATGGGAGCTACCGACTAGAGTTGGGGTTGCAGATAGACATGGGGACAGGCGAAGGGTGTTGGTTTAGCGTGCCGGGTCGAGCTTAGAGTTAATGGTGTGCAGAACGGGGAGTCTAACCTATCCTGCTTCCCCCCAAAGAGTTTATCTTGAGACTAAACAGAAGATTGACGAAGCTATTGGTTAGCTTACTCCAAGCTGCCGTATCATGGTGGGTACAGATTTTTTTTTTCATGGCTACAGTAGCTGCGTAGCACGACGGTAGTTTGCCCCCCTTATCTCATTCCCGTCTTGGTTTCTGGCCTTTCTCTCGGCGAGGGCGAGAGGCTTCACAGCCGATAATCTTGTCGTTGATGACCGGCCCGGTCACGTCTAGATCTCGAAACTTGGAAAAGGCTCGTGCTGTTTCAATAAACGGGCGAGTGCGCGCTTAAATCGCCTGACGTTCGATAAATTGTGTTGATACCATTATCTTGACTGACTCGTTATGTGTCAGCGTCAGCATTGGTACGGGCGAGTTGTTTCTTCTGTCTACGAGAATAAGGTTATTCAGAATGCTACCCAAATGTGTCAGATTCTTATTACTGTGCTGCATTCCTTGGAGACAAGCTGCACTTACCCATGCCCCAAGTACCATTCAGCTTTATCTTGTACGCTGTTGGACTAAACGCGCCCCAGACGCGGAGTGATGACGCTTGTATGGGTAGGTATGATCGTTTGGCCTTAATACCTTGTCTGCAATCAACACGACTCCTGTGTTACGGCCCCGCAGCCAGATTGAGCTACTTTGGGAAGGTCGTTATCATGGAACTTGTCCGTATTCAGGCGCCACTTATGGAAGTCATCAAATTATGATTCCCAGTGTTTCCTATCATATTACACAGCAAATGCTGTCATTGCGGACCGAGTGTTTGGGTCGAGGTCAAGGTCCTGGTGCAACTCCAGCCTTGCCCAGACTCTAAGATCTGCAGTCAAGATCCCGTCTAGCGTGGTGCAGAACTTGGCAATGCGATGCCCTGGATGCCAATAGATCGCCAAGGACCTCCAACTGCTTGACAGCTCAAACAGAGAGGCGCTCTTTTGGAGTGGCCTTTGAACTCCCAGCTCCCTTTAGCCGCTCCCCCACATGCTCCAAGACCACCCTCACGCGGCCGCCTTCACTTAAACAAGGATTGTGTGCCAGCCCTAGTTCTCGGGCTAGAAAGCCAAAAGCTTCCAGACTCCCAACTCTTGGTTGCCCATTGGCTCTAGGTAATTGCATGCACCGGTGGTATCGATGGATATGGAACCATGCCCTTTCTAGGCCAACTAGTGAATTTGGAGGTATCTTCCCCTCACCCGCCGACTTCGCAGCTGTTTGACCGCCAACTGAGGAAAAGCGTTATCTTTTTGCCAGGCTTTTTTTTTTTTTTTCTTCTCGGCGTTCCCTTGACTAGGGGGGACTCCAATAATGATATCGATTGTGGCTTAAAATCTCCTCACGATATGTTTCCCCTCACGAAAAAGATGCATCTCCAGTGTAGAATAAGAATGAGGCTCAAGAAACTCGTTACGTTATATCTTCTTGGCTTTCTGGGGAAAATGGAGTCGATGCCGTGATAGCCACGAGGCCTCCCCAGACCCGTGTTGAAAATCTGGGGATGCTCCGGACTCTCGAGTCTAGACACTCAACGTGAGGATTCCATTACGAAATCGTTTCCGTTGCATCTTGATTACATTTCTGGGGTAAAGCAAAAGGAGTTTTGCACGTAATCTCACTCTCCCTGGTTCGTTCGGAGAGATCCATTCCTGTATTGACTCCAATTATTAGCCTCTACCAGCTAACTCGATCAGGAAGGTATTGACACATCTTGTGCGGAGAAAGCGCTCAATATTTCCACTGCGGAACCGTCAGCCCGTTCTAGACCTCGTTTTTTGCCCACGCTGGATCCGTTAGTGGTTTAACAGGAAAGTCCTACGTGAAACCATCACATAAACAGTTGCTGTCCTCAACTTCTGCTTTGTTTATGATCACTGATCGAGGACTAGTTTAATCAGTGGCGTTCCTGGCAATTATATTAACACCCCAGAAAACGAGTCGTGCCATGTTAGCTGACGTGTTATGCCGGCTCTTGCCATCCAGCTATCCCAACCACAGGTATGGCATGATTGGAACATCGATATTGTATGTTGGTCTCATTCTTTTTCTGCTTAGTTACTGGATGCCCTTTCCTGAGACATTGTTATGGCAGCAAATTGCAATCCGTTTATTTTCGGTGTTGCCAACCATTCAACGTTCCCCCGCTCGTATCGTGATAGCCACACAGCGTCCTCGTTGACAGCCTCCAATGCCTCCCGAACTTGGACGTTCCGCTCCAAAACCTCCGCAAGTAAATCGAGAATGTCATCAAACATTTCCTCATCCACTTGAACATACGACACGAGAGCTGTCAATAGTTCGACCGCGCCCTCCCATAATCGTGCTGGTGACGCAAATTTCCCCAGACTACCTGAAGACGATGTGACCATTCGCGTTAGAGGCTTGCCGCTTAAACCGTCGCCATCTTTCAGGGGCATCAACACTCGGCTATCATCGCTTTCTCTTCCCCGCGTAATGTCAGCTTCCCCATGGGGCCTGGCCCATCTCGGTGAGGCGGAAGCTTGATGTTTAATTTTGCGACACCAATCGCGAAGCCAGTCAGCCCAGTCGGTCTTGAACCGAGAGCTAAGAAAGTCCCCCGCAGCAGCGCAAATTCCAGCAAGAGCGTGGCACGCTTCAACCGCGATATAAGCTTCCGGGTCATGCAGCCTGTCGATCACAACAGGCCAGATCGAATTAACGAGTGGCAAAAATGCTTCTTCATCGGGTGCCAAAGCAGTGGAGACATTTGTTAAAAGCTCAAGCAGTGATCTTCGCAGCGTTGGTGTTGGCGATGTAAGGTAATGCTGTGTGAGGTTTGCCACTCTCAGCAAAAGCTGGTACGTCTGCGTATTTGGTGGTTTCTCTGGTTCTTGAGGAGGCTCTGCCGCCTCCTCATCCTTGCCCTCTCCTTCATTCTCATCCTCTTTCCATGGAATCTTTGGGTGTTCTTTCACATTATCCATTTCCGTTTTTTCAAACTCTACCCGCTGCTTTCTTCTATCCAATACATCCATAAGATCGGAAAGACCTGGTGCTTTCTTGTATTGTTTTCTGTGGTCTGGCCTCGAATTTGTCTGATGCTTAAGCAATAACATATCTGAAAGAACACCTTGATTCACGACCTCTTTGAGCACAATGAAAAGGTTCTCTACAAACAGAGGATATCCGTGGTAGTTGTCCAGTGCCCCAAAAATTGAGTCGACGACGTCGTCTAGGTAGGGCACCAGCCGAGGACCTGCCAGTCGGATCATCATGGTCAGAACATTGATCGACGCAGGTGATATGTCTAAGCTGTTGAGTCTCAAGGAGACTGAGTTGACCATATAATCGACATTCTGGATGATAAGTTCCGACACGTTGGCATATCCACAGGAGGTGGCCAGACTGTTCAACGTAACAATAGCATGCTTTTGAAGCTGCGGATTCTTGGATCCTAGGAATGTTGCAACCGGAAAGAGGACATCGATCAGTTCGGGACGAAACGACTCTCCAGACCTCTGTGCCGTATAAGCGATTGCTTCTAAAGCCAAGGCTTCCGAGCGCCAGTCAACCGACTCTGTATCGGTATGTCGATCAAGAATCTGCACTGAATTGGTGTAAAGCTCATTAAATATGGCGTCGATATCCATGGACATATCTTCTACTGACGACAGGTTGAGAAATATGTCTTCTTCGGCAGATGATTTGTGGCTCGCTTTCACAATCTGAAAGCAGAGCCAAAACGCAGCAACCTGGCCAACATGATTGTCGGAATCTTGAACTTGTTCCAACATATTGCCCGCAAACATTGCTTGTTGCGACGATGTGCCGAGAAATGCAACGAGTGACGATAACTCGTCTCGGAGCTTCTTTTGAGATTCAGCGGGGAGTAGGACAGGTTGGTATTGTGTATCTTCAGAACCTGCTGATGCCTCTCCCTGATCTATCAGCCGTACATCTATGTTCTCATTCGTCACCGGGAGCTTTGTTGCTTGTGTTAGGGCTATGACACTATCCCGGAGCATCATCGACATCGATTCGTCAAGTATTGATGATTGTATGTGCAACTCTTTTAGTAGCTCGAGTCCCTTTATAACATTTCGTATTGCGTCTATCTTTGCATCCTCATCTGCAGACTGCATCAAGCGCGAAAGACTGGACATCCAGTTGTATGTTGTTGTCTTGACGATTTCGCCAAGTTCCGGATAGATGCTGATGAGATCCCGTAGACTGGTCTGCGTAAGAGATATCTTGTTACCAGCTTCTCCAAGCACCATAGCTGTCTCGACGAGTATGTTTGCACAGTTGGACAGTGTCTTGTGGCATTCATCGAGGAGAGTCACACAGAGTTTGTTGAGGGCGTTCCTGACCTCGACTGAATCGTGAGACCGCAATTTCATCATTGTAGCAAGCGCTTTCTTGATTTGTATGGTGCTTGCATTGAGCCAGGCCGGAGACAAAATCTTGTTATCGTGGACTTCATCTTCATTTTCGGATTCAGTCTTGGCTAGTATTGACCGTGTCCGAAGATCAGCCATTACACTGGTCAGCACAAGGCCTACTGTCTCTAGGCATTTGGCGAGAACGGTGGCTTTGTGTCGGTTAGGAGATGATACGACTTTTGCTAGTGAAGATATCGTGCCGGGTAGGAAGCTAGCCAATGCGGCCAACTCTTTCACAGTATGATACACAGCTTGCAAGGCCCGTAATGCTTCCTGCTGAATCTGGGGGGTGACACCATCAGCCACTCCATTTAACACGACTGTTACCCCGTGTCCAAGAGCTGGTATCGATTCAGTTTCTGAAAGCCCTGAGGCTGCTTTGGTCGCCAAGCCAGCTGTATTAAAGAGGGCCGTCAAACCACGAAAAGCTTCCAATACAGTCTCCTCAGCGATAGGGCGCTTCAGCTTAGATTCTGGTGTTCCATCAATGATGAAGGTGAGAAGACTCAGAAGCTGTCGGACGAGTTCCGCAGAAATCTTTGCTTTCCAGCCATGCGTGATGAGGATCGTGAGTGTCTTGATACAGTTTTCTATCAAGGGCATGGGGTACTGGTCCATCTGACGGAAAACATGGTGGAGAGGAAAGAAGACATATTCGGAGAACTTCTCATCCAACATTAAAGGATTTCGTCTGATTTGTTCGTCGAGAATTTCATGAAGGAGCCTCGTCTGCTCGTTCAGTTCTCGAGATGAAGCTGGTGCATCATCCTGGCGTATCGCCAATTGGCTTATCTTGACGCAGCATGGTTTGAGCTACCATTGTCAGTTAGGATTCATTATTGAATAGCACTATACTGCCTTACTTTTTGAAAGAACTCGTTCCTCTCTTGGCTGCTGACTGTAGACTCCATGGTTGACGAAGCGAAGCGCTTCCAGCTTCCTATTCATGCATATTCTCCACAGCTTCAGTAAAGCTGAACCAAAGAGTTAGCGAACACGAACGCGAGTACGCAAGTGAAGGATAGCAAATATGAGGGTTTTGAATCGGGATAGAGGTGGGTGGAAAGGAGAAGGATGAAGATGACTGACCGATTAATTGCCCCAACACTGGGGAAGGGATTCAATGGAAGCTTGTTTCTGGTTTGTCAGTTGATTTATTAGGAAGACAAATTTAGAGTGTGGAGGGGTCAAAGAGCTTTCTGGCTCCATTACACGGTGTTTAGTCTGGAAAACACTGTCCCCAATGTACCTCCACAGCAGGGGACAGTTGCAGCTGTATATAAACGGAAGACTCGACAGAATTTTGCATTATATATTAACCATGTTTGAATTAGAGCTCTTACCTATATTAATCATTCTTTACTGTCTTTCTCACAGTATTTTTCAATTAATTTCCAACTCTGAATACATAATTCAACAGTATCAAACTCCCCTTGATGTCATTCTCCACATCAGCTAGCCCATGCTGCTTTTTGCACAGTGCTCTGAGTCTGGACATCGAATGAAGCAGGGTGCATCATTCCACAATCGCTGTTTTGGAAGCAAACATTGACTGAGATCGTAATTGTTTCCTTACCGTAACGACCTGGATTCCATCCTTTGCCAAGCCCAGATCAGTACTATCAAAGCGAAGCTTGGCTGAGAAACAACCCTATATTCGAGAGTACCCCTCCATCACTTCAGGCATAAATAGGGAGTCCTCCGACACCAGTTTCCCACCTCTCAACTCTATAAAACTACACAATGGCGCCTTCCGGTCCTTTTCCCGTTACTGTTCATCCCTTTGAATCCGAGTGCCGAGGCTCAGCTGCCTACGAAGTTGGCTTGTCTTCTGCTCAAAATGCCATCGTCTTCATCGGTGGGCTGACTGATGGCCCGCATACTATCCCCTACACCCGGCTCCTGGCCCAACGTTTGGAACAAGCAAAAGATCTGGGTTACTCTGTCTTCGAATTCCGCATGAGAAGTTCTTTTTCAGGATTTGGTACTTCGAACCTATCCAACGACGTGGAAGACATCTCTGCATTGGTCAAGTATCTTCGAGGCATCGGAAAGAAAAAGATTGTCCTCTTTGGCTCATCCACTGGCTGCCAGGTAACAAAACATGACATCTTACCAATATTTTTCATATTAGTATTCTGACAAGTGACAGGACTGTATTGAGTATGCCGACTACCCAAAGCATAACAACGAGCCGGTGGATGGTTTCATCCTGCAAGGCCCAGTGTCGGATCGCGAGACACTAGACTTGATCATGCCTGACCCTCAGCCAAGTCTTGATCTCGCTGCCAAGATGATTTCTGAGGGCAAGGGCGGTGATTGTATGCCTTTTGACATGATCCCAGCTGTTTTGGGGGCACCGATCTCAGCTTATCGATTCCAATCTCTGGCCAGCAAAGGGTATGTTGAATGGTCTTCCAACCATATAGAAAGACCATGGACTAATAACTTGACAGTGGTGACGATGACTATTTCTCGTCAGACCTCGATGATGAAACCCTGGAGAAGAACTGGTTGCGATTCAAGAAACCAGTGCTGGTCCTACACTCTGCTGAGGATGAATTTGTTCCCGCACGGATCGATCAAGCTGCGAGTAACAAAAAGTACAAGGAACTGAACTCATCCGCCGTCAGCGACCTATCGGGACTGATTCCTGGCGCAAGCCATACCGTTGAGCAGCCCGAATCGCAGGAGTGGCTTTCTAAGACAGTCATTGAATTTTTGAAGACAGTTTAAATAAGATGATACGTTTCCAGGTAGTACAAAAGGCGGACAGCAGATATCTTGGACAATCGGGAGCAGCTTGATTATGAATACATGTGTATGTAGGAGCCATAGTCTAAGGAGCATAAAGTGACCTACTAATTTCGTCTCTTATGCTCCCAGCGATCAATTTTTCTGATACCCTGGGGTTCATCTGAAGATAGAAAAGTTATTAGTGATTCATCGAGTGATCTCTAAGTGAGGGTACAGGGTAAGGTCAGATTCAACAATGAAATCGGCAACTCAATCTAAACTCCGTTCACTATATCCAGCAAGAACCCCACTGAACAGGTTGCTTACCTTCGCCTACTTGCCCAATGCCCAAGCAGACCAAGCCTAGACCGTATGTTAGTCCAGCTAGTCCAGGCAACTCATGCACGTAGCATGGGTCCATGTTCGCGTCGGGTCGGTTCCTGAGGATACCGATGTAGGATTTGCAGCAAAATTCTGGGGCAGCTTACCAACCATCAATGACCCTGCTAATTCGACCAGATTCTGCTTGTCATACTTATGGCGGTAGGCAGGTAGGTAGGTACCCAGGTATCTCTTGCTTGATCCCGTGGAAGTCGGCAAGATCAAAGACTCTTTTTGCAATCGTTTCTTTTCCTTTTCTTCTTTTCCTTCAACGTTTGCTCCCCCAGAAGCGACCGACCGGATTCAGATTTGGAACTGTTTCTTTCCATTCTGAGACTGTCTTGGTACTGACCTAACCATTGCGCCGCCTCCGGTTCACGGCACCAGCTCGCACTGACGTCGACTCGCGCGAGCTTCCGAAGCTTCCAAAAATCTTATTCTACCATCGTCATCAAGACGCGCTGCCGCCTTGGTCATATTACGAATCATCCACCACGTCCCTCTAGCATGAGGTGACGATTGCGCAAAACAATTCCGACACCTCGAACTCCTTGAGTAACAACTACTGCAACAATGGCTTTCTTCAACGAGCAGCAGCAGCAGCAGCAGGTTCTCTTTGAGACGGGCTCGTTCACAGGCTTTCGCCCTCTGCGAGAGCTTGGTGCAAACTATTTTACTCTTAGCCCGTTCAAACAACCTCTTTGCGGAAACCCAGAAGGATGGGGTCCTATGAGCCCGCATCGCTACGATTTCACACCTTGCTTTATCGATGTCTGGATTGCTTCTGTGTCTGTGTTTGGTCTTTTGTTCGGATCGCTTGCTGTTTGGTGGTTGCTCGCCAAGAAGCCGAAGCAGGAGGGGCAGACCAAGAACGCGCATTTCTACATTAAACAGGTTGATACTATTGCCAAATTCACATTGTCGTGTAGTTCAATTCAGCTGACCCATCGTCTTAGTCCCTTCTCGCAATTATCATCCTCGACGTCATTGCCCAGTTCATTGTACAGATTATTTACATGCCTCATGTCTGGTACGGCGACTTCCGAGTGCTGACAACTTTCCTGACTATCCTGTCCCTCTTCGTCATCTTCTCTGTGCAATGGGTCGAACACTCGCGCATTCGATACCCTAGCGGCATCGCTCTTTTCTACTGGCTCTTCCTCTTAATATCTTACGGCGTCAAGCTACGATCTCTTATTTCCCAGCAAATCTACGAGTCCAACCTACCATACTTCATCATCTACTGCGTCGGTGTTGGGCTGTCTCTCGTCGAATTCCTTGTCGAGTGGCTATGGCCCAGAAGCACTGGCCCTAGTGGATATGAAGCCATTCAAGAGGAGGAAGAATGCCCTGTGGAATATGCCAACGCCTTCTCCCAACTTGCATTCTCTTGGATGACACCAATGATGCGATATGGTTACAAGGTATATTTGACCGAGGAAGACCTCTGGGCTCTTGCCAAGGACGACAAGACAAAAACCACTGGGGCTCGTTTCGATGAGGCCTGGAGGTACGAATTAGAACACCACAAGAAGCCGTCGCTGTGGAGAGTTTTGTTCAAGGCGTATGGCGGACCCTACTGTGTCGCTGCAATCTTCAAGTTCTTCAACGATATTGCTCAATACATTCAGCCTCAGCTGCTCCGCTTGCTTATCTCGTTCGTGGATTCGCACGGCAAGGGCAAAACCCCGCAGCCCATCATTAAGGGTGCTGCTATCGCGCTGGCCATGTTCGCTTGTGCAGTTTTGCAAACAACCATGGTGCACCAGTATTTCCAGCTCGCTTTTGTGACTGGCATGCGTATCAAGGGTGGTCTCTCCTCAGCCATCTACCGCAAATCTCTCCGACTGTCGAGCGAGGGCAGAGCCTCAAAGTCCACTGGCGATATCGTCAACTACATGGCTGTCGATGGCCAACGTTTGCAGGATCTTACCCAATTCGCACAGCAACTCTGGTCTGCGCCATTCCAGATCATCATTTGCATGGTATCTTTGTACAACCTGGTTGGTTGGTCTATGATGGCGGGTATTGTTGTCATGATTATAATGATGCCAATCCAAGGCTTTGTAGCTCGCATCATGAAGAACATGCAAAAGGAACAGATGAAGAACAAGGACTCCAGGAGCCGTCTGATCAACGAGATTATCAATAACATGAAGAGCATCAAGCTTTATGCCTGGGGATCTGCTTTCATGAACAAGCTTAACTTTGTCCGAAATGAAAAGGAACTCAAGAATTTGCGAAAGATTGGCGCTACACAAGCTTTTGCCAACTTCACTTGGACTACGGCACCTTTCTTCGTGTCCTGCTCAACCTTTACCGTCTTCGTTTTGACCCAGGACAAGCCCCTCACCACTGAGATCGTCTTCCCTGCGCTGGCCTTGTTCAACCTCCTGACCTTCCCACTTGCCATCCTCCCCATGGTTATTACATCCATTGTCGAAGCCTCCGTTGCTATTGGACGACTGACAAGCTTCCTCACCGCCGAGGAGCTTCAGCCCAACGCAATCACAATCAAGCCTGCCCCTGAGCAACTTGGCGAAGAGAGTGTTATCATCCGTGATGGTACATTTTCATGGAACCGCCACGAGAACAAGCCCACACTCACTGATATTGAATACACTGCTTACAAGGGCGAGCTTTCTTGTGTTGTCGGTCGTGTTGGTTCTGGCAAGTCCTCTATTCTGCAAAGTATTCTTGGTGATCTCTGGAAGGTAAAGGGCAATGTTGAGGTGCGAGGAACTGTCGCATATGCATCTCAGCAAACCTGGATTCTCAACGCCACTGTCAAGGAGAACATCATCTTTGGTTACAAATATGATGCCGAGTTCTACGAGAAGACCGTCCATGCATGCGCTTTGATGGATGACTTTGCGCAGCTTCCAGATGGAGATGAGACCGTTGTTGGCGAAAGAGGTATCTCCCTGAGTGGTGGTCAGAAGGCGCGTGTCTCCCTAGCTCGTGCCGTCTATGCCCGCGCCGATATTTACCTTCTTGACGACGTTCTCTCTGCTGTTGATTCTCATGTTGGCCGTCATATCATTGACAACGTCCTGGGAACTCGTGGTCTGCTTGCCTCGAAGACTCGTATTCTTGCCACCAATGCCATCGCTGTTCTTCGTCAGGCTAGCTACGTAAGCCTGCTCAAGGATGGCCAGATTATCGAGCGAGGAACATATAAAGAGCTGGTTGCTCAGAAGGGTCTTGTCGCCGAGCTTCTCAAGACTGCCGGACAAGAATCTGGCAATGCTAGCAGTGAGCCCAGCTCCAGCGCCTCAAGCAGCAAAGCCGCTACAATCATCGAACCAGACGTTGGCCAGGCTAAGGAAGAGCTTGAAGAAGCTCAGGAACAAGTTCCAGAGATGGCTCCTATCAAGACTGGTGCTAGTGCTAAGCCTCGCTCGAGCAGCATGGCAACTCTTCGTCGTGCTAGTACTGCTAGCTTCAGTGGCCCTCGAGGCAAGCTCACAGACGAGGAGATCGCAGGTTCCAAGACTAAGCAGAGCAAGGAGCACCTGGAGCAAGGCAAGGTAAAGTGGTCTGTCTATGGCGAATACGCCAAGATGAGCAATATCTATGCTGTCGCTCTTTACTTATTTATGCTACTCGCTTCGCAAACTGCCAGCATTGGTGGTTCGGTCTGGCTCAAGGAGTGGTCTGAACGAAACCAAAAGTCCAACTCAAACGATCACGTCGGCAAGTACATCGGCATCTACTTCGCATTCGGCATCGGAGCCTCCGCTCTCACTGTTATTCAAACCCTGATTCTCTGGATTTTCTGCTCCATCGAGGCGTCTCGAAAGCTTCACGAGCGCATGGCCCATGCCATCTTCCGCTCTCCCATGTCCTTCTTTGATACAACACCAGCTGGACGAATCCTTAACCGATTCTCTAGTGACATCTACCGTGTTGATGAGGTCCTGGCTAGGACCTTCAACATGCTTTTTGTCAACGCTGCTCGATCAGGCTTCACTCTGATTGTCATCTCGGTAGCGACACCAGCTTTCGTCGCCTTGATCATCCCTCTCGCCCTGACTTACTACTTTATCCAGAGATACTACCTAAGGACATCCCGTGAGCTCAAGCGACTTGACAGTGTGAGCCGCAGCCCCATCTATGCACACTTCCAGGAATCGCTTGGCGGCATCTCAACCATTCGGGCATACCGACAGCAACAGCGATTTGAGCTGGAGAACGAATGGCGTGTTGATGCTAACCTCCGTGCTTACTTCCCTTCCATCAGTGCCAATCGCTGGCTCGCCGTCCGCCTCGAGTTTATCGGCGCTATCGTCATTCTAGCTGCTGCTGGGTTTTCCATCATTGCTGTCACTGGCAGCAGGCCCCTCAGTTCCGGCATTGTCGGTCTTGCCATGTCATATGCTCTGCAGATTACAACCTCACTCAACTGGATCGTCCGCCAAACTGTAGAGGTCGAGACTAACATCGTATCGGTGGAGCGTGTCCTTGAATATGCAGCCCTACCCAGCGAGGCACCCGAAATTATTACCAAGAACCGACCCCCTGTCTCTTGGCCTGTCAAGGGCGAGGTTGATTTTGTCAACTATAGCACACGTTATCGCGAGGGCCTGGACTTAGTGCTCAAGAATATTAGCCTCGAC